GGCCTGACAAAGGAGTGCGGTTACTCTGCGCATAGCCAGACTGCTCGTATTGTTGCTCACCTGGATAGGGATGATCATATTCATCTTCTACGGTGGCCTGGTGTCGTTGATCGAACGAAGCCGGACTCTGCTGCTCTTCTCTTTCGTAAGCAGCAGCAGCGGCCATGGCAGCAGCTCCAGCTCCGAGTCCGAGGGCACCCTTGCTGAAAGAGGTGGGAGTACGCTCTCGCTCTTCTTGTCGGCTGAGCAACTCGTCGGTACGATCGTGGTAGCCATCGCCTCCTCCGATTGGCCCTTGGATGATCGATGGGTTGGTAGTTACATCCGAGTCATCATCCATGCCGTAACCAATCTCAGGCATCATATCGTTGTTGCCAACTGGGTAGGCGCTGTGATGCATCTGTATGGGTTCATCCATCGACATAGCATCCTCAGACTGTGCCTCGGATTGCGCGATGCTTTGCCTAGGAGAGTTCTCACGAGCAATGTTTTGCTTTGGAGACTCCTCGGCACGTCGTTCCTGTTGCAGAGCTTCGGCCTTGTCGCGGATGGCAGCCCATCTCTGGCCGGCAGGTACTTCGTCGGTTTGGACGTAAGCTGGGTTCGTGTGAACCTGCGAGAGCGTGCTCTTCTTGAGCGGGCTTGTGGCCATAGAGGACCGAACACTGAGGGTGGATTGTTCGTCATGTAGGGAGGCAACAGCAGACTCCACGGCCAGCGGTGTGTGGACGTATTCAGGAATTGTGCCGACCTTGCGAATGTCCTGAAGATCACCGACCTTCTGTTCGTGGTCGAGGTATTCCACTCCTGTGCTATCGTCGGTGTACATGGTCATGCGGTTGTAGTTCACAGAGCTATCCTCAAGTTCGCGTCGGTACATGTCATTCTTCTCGTGGTTGCGGTCGAAGAATTGCTTGGTGTCCTTGGTGGTTGCATCCTCATTGAGGATAGACCTCTTGCTTTCGAGAGTAACGCCCTGAGGTCGCTTACGGGTGCGTGCCGCTGCCTTTGTGCTAGTCGTCGATGAGAGTGATGCAATGGAGAGGTTGGACTCCCTTCGCTCGAACTGGTGGCCGAGAGAAGACACCGAAGGTCCACTACGGATAGAGTGCATTCTTCGTGGTGAGCCCGTGGTTTGCGCATCTCCCCGATAGCTAGCCTCGCTCTGTATTGGGCTGACAGTGTCACCACGTCTTGATTGCGTATCGCTTTCGATCTCATATTCCGAAGCTTGGGGCCCGGATCGCTCGATTGCGCGGGCTTTAGCAGCAGCTGCTGCATTCAAGCTAGCGTCAGTGGCTTCTTTCGAGCGGGAAGTCCAGCTGCGGTCACTCTTCGGCGTTGATGTGCGGACCTCGTTGGTAGATTTGTTGCTGTGGGACGTGCCAAGAGTTTGCTGGAGAGCATTGGGTGTGCGAGTTGGTGTGCGGGGTGATGGCGAGATGTATCCGCGAGGGACTTGTTGAAGAGGCGTCTCAGCGCCGGTGCCCGTTATGCCAGTGCTGACCGATGACCTCGACTGTGGTCTCTCCTTGGTCTCGGTCTCTGCGGATAGGATTGAGTCGCGAGTGAGCTCAGATCCTCCGATGAGCTCGCTGTGGTTGAAGGGTAGGGGAGGAACGCGTTCCTTGACACGAGGCTCCTCGTGCACACTTTCGGATACGCTTGCGGATCGACTGCTGCGAGAGGAGCGATGCTTGCGCTGCTTGCGTTCTTCCTCCTTCTCTTCCCGTGAAGTGTGAGACTTGAGAGCGGCAGTGGTAAGGCCAGCTCCAGCAAGTCCAACTAGAGCAGCATCTCGTTGAGACATGGTGCTGTCTTTGCTACTGCTCTTCCTCCGGTGAGACTTCTCTTTCTCCTCACGGGTAGTCGAATCAGCGTAGCTTGAGATGGAGCCCCGGCTGGATCGTCGCTCGCTCTTGCGACTTGATCCGCCAGCCAGCGTCGTCCCTGGATCGTCACCATCCCTGTTGAGGACAACCTTGGGCTTGTTGCTGTGGAGTTTGGGCGCGCTCGAAGATTTGGACACACGGCGTCTGGATGGGTCGCGAGAGCCGGCTGATTCGACGGTTTCGAAGGTGGCTATGCTGTCGCGGTTCGCGCGGTCGAACTTGTCCATGTTCCTGGAGGTGCGGTTCTCTTCTTTCAGCGCATTCAGCTCGGGGAGGATGAGGCGCTTGATAGCGTCCTCGACTGTGGCCAGTAGTTTGGGGTTGTTGATGGAGGAGGTCCCAGAGACGTGCGAACGACGGTCGGCGTTTGAGGAGAGGTAGCTGGACTCGGTGCCGCTCGCTTGCTCGACGTCCTTGCTCCTTCTGCGGTGAGACTTGCGGGGCGAGGCAAGCTCGTCTTCCCGCCGTCTGGACGTGTCTCTTGACTTTGAAGAGCTGTGTTTTGATCTGGCAGCACCGCCTTCTGCGGCCTGCTGCGCCAGTTTCTCCATGACGCGCTGTGTGATGCGGTCTTTGCTGAGACTTCTGCTGCGGTGGTGGCGGGGTGCCTTGAGGGTGTCCTGGATGGCCTCTGATACCATGGACTCGGTGACTGCGTCGCGTTCCATGCTGCGGCTCCTGCGGCGCGCGGGCGGGAGGATCTCTGTTTGGCCGGTCATGCTGTCTGCGGGCATGGACGATATGTCCGAGGGCATGGGGAGGAAGCGGCCGCCGTCGGTAGACAGGTCGCTGTGGTTGGGCAGCAGCTCGATGTCGACGGGCGGCAGGGAGGAGATGTTGGAGAGGTCGGAGTAGGCGACGGTGCGCGAGTCGTAGAGCTCGGAGTACGACTTGCTGGTCGCGAGCGAGAGGCGCTTGGAGTAGGAGGGCGCGTGGGAGTTGCGCTTGGCGGACGTCTGGGTGATCTGGACGTTGTCGCTCGCGGTCGAGTGCCTGCTCTTGCGAGACGAGGGGGTGACGCGGACGCGCACGCTGCCTCGCGAGCCGGCCTGGCCTTCGTCCTTGCCGGACTCGAAGTACTCAATGAGCAGCGACGTCTGCGAGGGGAACTTGCGGGAGAGCCTCGCTTGGCCGCGGGGCTTGGTGGGCGAGGTGGTGTTGATGGTGATGGGGGTGCCGTCGTCGGGGACGGAGTACGAGGTCCTGTCGGTGCGGTTGGAGACGTCGGTGTTGATTTCGTCGATGTGGTAGGTTGATTCGTCTGCGGAATCGAGAGTCGAGGGTTCAGTAGGTGCCGGAAGAGGAGGTCGTTCTGTATCTAAAACCATCGTAGAATCTGAAAGATTCTAGAAGGCGGGGTGGGTGACGGAAGACATGTCCGGCGCCGTTTTCCTCGAGGACGTTATGGGAGGGAAATGATGTTGGCGATGGTGTGGGTGCAGGGCCGCACCGTGGCTGTTTACGTTTGCGCAACCTGGATGTTGCTGGTGCGCGAACAGCGAGGGCGCGTGTGCGAGAGGAGCCGTGATAGCGGGCGTGAACGGGACGGGGGTCGTGAACGGGGACGTGAGAGCCCAGTTGCGGTCCAGTAGGCGGTCGAATGCGTGCACACAGCTCCAGATGTCTGCGGCGTGCGACGCTCTGCGACAATGGCCGCCGACGTTCAGGCTAGGCGGGTTAGACACCTCCAGCTGCTCAGCAATGTGAGAAGTCACGGGACTCACCAGACCAGGCAGCACAACAGCTCCCGTCTATCGCAGGTAGCAATGGCTCTGCAGCTCCGTCGCGCTCTTCGCTGGTGGAGAGGCGTCCTGTGGTGGTCGCCAGCTCCAGCTGTGGTGGAGAGAAAGGCTGGGTCACGGCTGGAGAACAGCAATCCTTGTCGGCGCTAACACGGGCTGGAGGTGAGGCTTGTTGACCTTGCAGATCGAGGATGGCGTGGGTGGGCGAAGGATTATTAGAATTATTACAATTATCCTAGTGCAATAGTACGAATGGGTATAGAGTTATGAAAGATGATGTAAAGGGCACAGAGTGAATAGAACCACCTGCGACAGGTCGCGTCGTATCAACCAACGATGGGCTCCGGGCGATACATCATGACTTGTCTGTCCCCAGCCACTCGGCCGCGTCAAGACCATACAGCGTGCCTGGTGTCCCTCGTGGACGCCGTTGGCCATGCATCCCACTGCAAAGTGCGCGACGAATGCCAGCCTCTACCGTCCCTCCTTCTCCCGCCTGTAACAAAGATGGCTGGTCGCACCAAAAGCAACCACGTCGCCTATTCTATTCTTACCCCTCCCGTCTTCCCGCGCCCCCATGCCACAATCCCAAATCAGGCTCCTGAGATTCTATGTTTTTTGCTGCTTTTCCAGCCAGCTTCAGAACCTCGTGAAATGCTCACCGCCAGACTGTCAAACATCCGTCATGGGCGGCCGTCTCGCTGCTAACTACATAGCTAGCTAGCTTCTAGCACCCGTGTCGTTACCAGGGGTGATGGTGCCGCAACCCCCGTGGGCGGCCGCATCCGCTCTCCTGCCCAAGTGTCTCCGCTCCGTCATTGGCCCGCCAGCCAGTCTGATCCAAAGCGCGACTTGCCAGCGCATCCCCCAGGGCTCCATACAAGCCGCCGCGCTGACACTTTCTGCACTTTGCGTAACTCGTAGGGCTGGCTGGCTACGGGCACAACTCCGTCAAGTAATATACCAGAAGTGCGCTGTGCTAGAGAATAAATATTCCGAAGGATGCAAACTTGGTGAACTGGCAGTTGACGCGGCCGCAGCAATGTTGCGATTCTGTGGCCTCAGTGGTTGCTTGCCGCCGCAATCTTGCTAGGGCTCACCGGTTTGGTGGCGCTGTACGGGCAGGCAATCTTCAAGACATTTATTTTGCTTACGGTTAGATTTGAGCTACCAAGTACGTCATATATGCCAGGGACAGAGTATGTTTGAAGTCCAAGGTCCATATCAAATTGACACATTTCGCTTCTGAAGTTACCGACATCCCCATGGGTGCTCAATTAGATCATGCACAGCTGTAAACCCTAGATCATGGCCCGTATGTGATTTTGTACGCCAAACTCCCATCAATGCCTCCTCAACTACTACCTCAGAACCTCTTGCCTCCCCTCATCGGTCGTCGGCCCTGCGCAGGCTGGCTTCCGTATGCTCTCCTTCCCTCCACCTTCTTGTCGCGACTCAGGCTCGCCCCAAGACTGATGTCGATGCGCGGTGGGGTTGAGAAACCGAACGATTTGGCCACCTTGACGAGATCCAGCTTGTGCACGTCGAACACCGACCGCAAGCTATGTGAAGCGTACGACTGGAGGTACGACCGGTAGCCATCCTTTGCGCTCTTGTTGAGGTAGTAGTTCTTGCTGATCAAGGCTTCCAGTTGTGACTGGATGTTGAGAATCTTGTTCGAAGGCAGCTCAAATTCCACCAGGGGCACGCGGTTCTCTTTGAGGAGCTTGAGGAATCCTACTTCCGATGGCAAGAGGAACATCAAACTCCTGCCCTTGCCATTTGCACCTCGGGCTGTTCGACCGACTCTGTGGATGTAGTCTGTAGACAAGTCAGTAAATGACCATGCATTGCGTGTGGTCAAGCTTACCTCGCGGGTCATCAGGTGGGTCGAACTGAATAACCCAATCCACCTCAGGAATATCTAGTCCTCGCGCAGCAACATCGGTGCAGATGAGTGTACCGCTCTGTGCATTCACAAACTCGAAGAAGCGGTTCGTTCGCGCCTGTTGTTTGAGCTTGCCGTGCAGTCCAAGTACAGGCAGGTCGATGTAGTTGAGTAATTCGCTGTAGAAGTCGACAGATGCGCACGATGACAAGAAGACAATGACCTTCTTCTTCTGGTGTTTCTTGAGGAATGAAAACAGAAGCCTGAACCTGGTGTCTGAATCGCACAGAACGTAACCCTGTTCCAATCCCTGGACCGTGCTATGCTCGGCACGGTGATCGACGTTGATGTAGAGGGGGCCGGCCTTGAGCGATATCCTTGCGAGATCCTCAACCTTGGTGGTCTGTGTTGCGGAGAAAAGCATCGTCTGACGCTCCGTAGGCAGGATCTTGATGATGGACCTCATCTCATCTTCGAAACCGACTTCGAGAATTCTGTCTGCCTCGTCGATGATGAGCGACCTCAAGTTCTTGAAGACAAAGCCTTGCGTGTTGTGTAGATGATCGAGGAGGCGCCCGGGAGTAGCGATGATCAGGTTCAAGCCCTTCCTGATCTTCTCGGCTTCTGCGTTTCGGTTGGCACCACCGATGCAGATACCAAACGTCTGGCTGTGTGGCTCCATGAGCTCGCGCGCTACACCGAAGATCTGCAACGCCAATTCTCTGGTCGGCGATACGACAATGACTCCAGTTCCGTTGCGCGGCTTGAACCGCAGCTGTGAGAGCATCTCGATAGCGGGGATAAGGAAAGCCAGAGTCTTTCCACTGCCAGTCTTTGCCGCTCCAAGCACATCCCTTCCTGATAGCAGAGGTGGTATAGCCTTCTGTTGGATCTCTGTCATGTTCTCGAAACCCATGTTCTTGATGGAGGTCATCGTTCGTTCGCTCAGGTTGAGCTCGTCGAATCGCGTCGGGTTCGCTGAGGGCATCGAGGTGCCTGAGGGAAGATCAACAGCATTGCTGCCCGTGCCAGAGGGTAGTTCGGCAAGCTCGTCATTGTCGCCTTCATCGTTTTCCTTGTCGCTGTCGTCGTCTGCAGCACTGGCTTCTGCAACGACATCCTCTACTGCCGCTTCTTCTTCCTCGTCACTCTGTTCCTCCTCAGAAACATCCTCCACCACAGGCTCTTCGACGACAGGTGCCTTGTCCTTGCGCGCCTTCTTGCGCGCCTTGGTAGCATCTACGCCATCATGCGCTGGTGTGATTGTCGGCTCGGCGCCCTTTTTGCTCTTGTGAGACCTCTTCCTCTTGTTTCCCGACTCGATCGCGGCGGGCGACATGGTGTATACTGCGTTTGGGGGGGTGCTGTGCAATGGCGCGAAAAGTTCGACTTGAAGCGCACCGGCTTGCCAAAAGTTCTAAGACCGAGAAATAATTATCGCGCTAGAGACCCTGGCCTGGCGCACGGACCAGTTCAGCGGGTTGCAGCATCGCGATGTAGAGAACACCACCCAGATACTCCACGTACAGCTGATGAGAGAAGGAGCTTACCTAGCTGCCACAACCTGCACCTTTGGATCGTCTGAAGGATGGCGCATATCATCATGGGTCTTCTCTGATACCGCCTACGCTCCCACGACGTAAGACCCACAACCTACTCATCTGCAATGTTCGGGAAACTCTCACATCTGAGCACCCTGACATCCCAAAACGAGTCCATCGGCAATGCATTAGGTACAAGATTGCCTTCCACGAGGTGACTTTATCATAGACAGAGTTTCTAGCTAGTTTATGTTAAGTATACCCGTCATTCATGACATATACGAAATATCGTTACCCTGAGGCCTGTTCCCATACACCATGTCATCCTTAAGCCCATTACTATATGAGTTGCAAGCATGCCTCCCTCCCTTATCCCTAGTGATCACAATTCACCCTTGCAGGGCATCCAATACATCCGCCTCCAGACAAGCCAACAACCCCTTCGCCTCACCCCTATACCCCCACTTCTCAGCCGCCCTCTCAGCCCTCGTCCGCGAATTACTCGCAAACAGATACCTCGCTAGCTGCGGAAACCCAGGTAGATTGGCCATGTTATCCAGCTGCTGCAAACTTATCTGCACTGGCTCCGCATCGTGTATAACACCATGTTTGTGTAAGATTTCAGCGGTCGCTTTTGCAACACTAGACTGAGAATGCTCTTGCGTGCTGGCAAAGTAGTACCCGTTATCGTTGAAGAAATCGTGGGGAGAAGAACGCGAGACTGCGGCTTCTACGACGTGCAGGTAGAGACGCATCAAGTCGTCGATGTGAACCCAACTCCGCGTGTTAGTTCCGTCGTTGTAGTAGAATGGTTTACCACCCATGTTCTTCGCTTCTTTGATGAAGAAGGGGATGAGCGCACTGTGTGTCTTCGCTAAGCCTAGTCCTTTACCGTAGATATCAGGGGGACACATGATGGCTATGTTGATCTGATTTCCATATTTTGCAATCGTGTCGTGTAAGATGGTTTCGGTGTTGCGGTGCAGAGCCGTAGGAGGCAACTGGCGGATTTCAGGCAGAGAAGTCTTGTCGGACCATATCTTTGGGTTTAGCACTCCCAGGTACCGTTCATCGGCCCAGTCTGATACTATTCCTGTGCCGGAGAGATGGAGTAGGTAGCCTGGTGTTGGACGTCGGAGTAAACCGGTGATGATGGCGTTGAGACTGGCTTCGTGGTCTGAGTCGCCGTTGTGAACGACGATGTCGGCGTTTTGCGCGGCAGAAGCAATCAGGTCGGCGCTGGAGTAGTCGCCGGTTAGGATGGTGATGTTGGGGTAGGTGGATGTGAAGGTTTCAGGGGTTCGTCGGAGAAGCACAGTCATGTCGTATTCTGGGTGGGTGGTCGCGAGGGTATGGAGAACAGAGCCACCGATGTAGCCTGTTCCTCCCGTACTGAGGAAGGGTCAGTCGGGGGAATGTTAGATGGGGAGGGTGAGCCTGTACAGGAAGATCTTGGGTGCCATAATGAATTTTCAGTCAACGATGTGTGTTTGAGCGAAGGATGACTATTTAAAATGCGGTAATGTTGAGGGCTCTTGAACACGCTCGAACTTCATGAACAAGGTGCTGCGACTCCACTTTGATTGGTAATACAAGTTGTAACACTATTTTCCCTAGCACTCGGCTATATAGCATCATAGCTGACTCATTATGCGTCCGAATCATTTCGATAGTGATCCGGAGTTGATTTGAACAGTATGCTAGCCTGATGCCGATAGCATCCGACATACCATATTCACGAGAGCTGGTAGGGTTTTGTATGCTCACACCTGTATTGTTCCGTGTGGTAAATATTGCGGTCGTCGACGACACCCAAGCAAGGTCATGCCATCGTTGCTTGTGAATCCAGACCGTTACGAAGTCAATCGAGCATAGTCATCATTCAATAGATTTTGAGAGAAATTACACGGGGCTCAAATATTACCCAAATCCCTCCACGCTCACGCTCAAACCAACGAGAAGACATCTTGCAACCAACAGTTTCGATTCGTCCAAACCCACTTATCGCATGCGGCCGTCAAGACCCTGAAGGTCACGCTCCAGATCGCTTCCGTTCCATCCACCTTGGTTGAACGCTTCTTGCGGCCTTGGGTCTTCGTAGCCAGCGCGGTCGTAGTTGTTGGGTATCGGGACTTGCGGCGCCTGGTTTCCCCCAGCGCCTGCACCGGGTTGTACGCGCACCATCTGGCGGAAGCGACTGACTTCATCCAGGATCATCTTCTTCATCTCCGGGATCTCCTCGACCACCTCGAACTGGAAGTCGAATGTAGTTGGGCATGAAGGCTCGTCGGAAGCATCGTGCCAGATTTGTAGGTACCTGTGTTCCAGGGCTTCCTCGACTGAGATACGGCTTGAGGGATCAAATGCGAGCATGCGGTCGAGCAGATCAAGTGCGTCTGGGTTGGCGTTCCTGAACAGGGACTGGAACGAGATCTTTTGCATGTACGGTAGATTGCGAACGTAATCTTGCGCACGGGGAGATCCGATGCGTGAGAGTGTCTCCTCGTTTGGTGTTCCAAGGTAGTGCAGGATCTGGTTCAGTTGATCGACGTAGTCGCGGCCCTTGAAGAAGGGCTTACCACCAAGCAGCTCAGCAAGGATGCAGCCTACTGACCACACATCGACTATGCAAAGTCAGCTTGAGTTCGGCATGTGACTCCATTACGAGAGAGTGACTACTTACTAGCTTTTGTGTAGCTCTGGAAGCTCAACATGATCTCAGGGGCTCTGTACCATCGGGTAGCGACATATTCGGTCATGTATCCTGCGTTCTCCTCGGGGTCCATGGAGAAACCCCTTGCAAGACCAAAGTCGCAAATCTTGAGCTCGCAGTCGGCGTTGACGAGCAGATTACCGGGCTTGAGATCGCGATGGAGGACATTGGCCGAGTGAATGTACTTGAGACCGCAGAGGATCTGGTAGATGAAGGACTGGAAGTGGGCATCGGTGAGCGGCTGGCCGGACCGGATAATGGCTGCCAGGTCGCACTCCATGAGCTCTACACGCCTATCAGCACTGTCTTATCAGAACATGGGATGTAATGCATACCCTCGTATAGGTAGCACTCGTTGAAGTTGTCTGGGCGGGGAATGTCCATGTCGTAGAGACATGTTATCTGTGCGACGAGTTTAGCATGGGATCGATCGGGGCACTCGGGAGCATGTCTGTCTTACGTTACGGTGGCCTGGCAGGTGTTAGTAGTGTTGCAGCCGGTAGGTGGCATGTCGACTTACCTCTAAAGTGCTGGAGCAGCTTGATCTCGCGCAGGGCACGCTTGGCAAGGATCTTCTTGCTGAAGACGTTGGTGACCTTCTTGATGGCCACGCCCTCGCCCGTCTGGTTGTTGGTAGCCGCACTGGGGGCAGAATCAGCACTTGTTATGCGGCGCGCCGTCGCTCGAGTCGTACCAGACAATGCCATAGGCACCCTGTCCCAGCTCCTTGGTTACATTGTAGCGCTCGTCGACGATGAACTCCTGGTTGAACACCTGCAAGCTGTCAGTACGCGTGCTCGGCCGTGAATGGCGGATATAACGTTACCTTGAACACTTTGCGGTTGGCGAGGTCGCCCATGGTGGCAGCTGCGGCGGGGTAGGCTCGAAGGGCAACCAAAGCAGGCTCTTTCTATGTTCAGAGAGAAAGCAGAAGTCGGACAATGTGGACTGTGGAGAACAAGTGCGGGCGGCAAGCGCACGATATGATATAAGGCTAGGCGCGCGGCCAATGTGATGACTGACAGGAGCTGCTTCGACACAAAGCGGGGCGGCGGCTCTGGCACGGGGCGGGCGGTGGGACAGTCGAGGCAGGCGCAGAGTCTTCACCGGGAAGTCGCCAGCAATAGGAAAGCGATGGACAGACTGGCTTCAGCAGAAAAGCGGTCGTCCTGTGCCTCGTCGCGGCCTCCGTGAGGATATGGTGGGGTTGGTATCCAGTCGCTGCGCGGACGAGGGGTTCAACTTGGCTGCTTGCGGCAAGGCGCTGCCCAAGGCACCTTCCTCAGACCGCTTCGCCCGCGCCGCTGGCTCTGCCCTACAATCAGGACAATTGCCCGTTGCAGGCCCGCGACCGTTTAGCCAGCCGACGGCCAGCCCGACAGCATGAACGCATGAGCCTAGCGCTTCGACATGCACATGTACAATTCAGGGTGCCGCCATGTGCGCGAAAAGCGTGTATTTACACTATATACACTAACACTAACAAAACGTGGCTGCTCGTTTCTACCACGTGCCGCCGTCTAGATGGGTATTCAGCCTCTGCTATGCACAATTCAAACTATTCCCTCTCAAACGCCATATCCGTGGTGCCAAGATAACCCCGCCACTTATGCCAAACAAAATAAACGCCAGTCGTAACGTCGCTGAACAAACAGCTTTTTGGCCTCATGACTCGTAAGAGAACCGCCGTCGGGAGGCATCCGTAGACCCTTCCAGCGGCGAGACGGGGGAAAGGGGATCGCCATCCGACTCGGCGCGTCGTTCTTCGCGAGCACGGTAGGGCGGCAATTGGAAAAATGTGTCCGAGGCTTCCAAGAAAGCACCGTCTCTTGGTGTGCGTGGTGTAATGGGCGACACGTTGTCGGTTGGAAGCCGACCGCTCACTATCGACACTTCGGACGGGGATATTGGTGCGAGCCTGCGCGACTCTTCGTACGCAGCTGGGGTTGCATCTGGCGTGCCGGTCGGATCTATGCCGTTGTATATCCTCTCGCGTACCACCATGGACTCCTTTTCCGACAGTTGACGGCCGCCTGCCTCGGGAAGCACAGGCATGTCTCCAGGCATCTCATAGATCTGACGCTCCTCGCCATCTGCCTCATGCACGGCTGATGATCCCTTCTCTTCTGCGCTGGAGCTCATCTCGTGATGCACATGGGATGAGCCAGGTAGCTCGGCCTTCGCGAAGACAGTCACGCCTTCTGTACTACTTCGTACTGGAGACGTCGGAGCCTCCTCTGACACGGGTGGATCCATCTTGGTGACCGCCGCCGCAGCGACATCGGCCTCGTATTGCGCTTTGATGTCTGCCAGCTTGCGCTTGTGCCGCCGTCGCCAGAACCACCACCCAATTGCGCAGAAAATCAGAGCAACGAAGAAGCCACCTCCCACTGCGATACCAATGACTGCCCCTGAAGACAAAGGCTTCTTCTTTGGGGGATCATAGTGCGGAACCGCGTAGGTGGGCGACACGATAGGCATGATTTGTGGAGCTTTGCCAAATGTCCAGTCCACCGCTGACACGGTGAAGTTCTGACGTTCCCAGTCTACGGTCAAGTAGGCTTCCTGCAGGAAGACTCTACCCAGTACCCACTGACGCGCCTCCGCACCTCGTCTGATAGGAAAGTATTTTGTCTTCTCTTGCAACCCTCTATACGGAGGAGTCGCCTCCAAGTCTAGAGCAGCATAGGGCAAAGTGATCTGCAAAGTCGAATCCGTGCTGTATTTCTGGCCGATAGTGATCGTGACACTGGGGTTTTGCGCAACGAGATCCCGGTGAAGCGCATCATCCACAAGGTAGAGATCAGTCTTTTCATCGTACTTTAGTCCAAATGCATCCTCAAAAGCTTGGCATATCTCAACCGGCAGGTAGAGTTCTGCAACCGTCGAATCAATGTACATGGTCACGTCGTCCCGGTTCATGAGGAGGTCGATATCTCCTTTCGACGTGGTATCTGCCGTGATGCCGACGACACCAACCGCCAGGTCGCGCTCATTATCCGGGGCGAAGATGAAGGTGAGGTCGTTGGGAATGAGGCGAGAGGCATCGTAGCCGCCAAGCGTGAGACTTCCGAGGACTGTCTGGTCACCTGTGCGTCCGAGTCAGTGATTTGCAACAAGGGTACGTGGTGATAACTTACGGTACTGGGCGCCTGCCGTGTAGCCAAAAGACAAACTGGGGATGCTCTTCTGGTCGAACAGCGTGGTTAGGTAGCTCGGAACGGATTCATCGAAGACGGAGAAGTTGGTCGACTTGGAATGCACGCCTATATGCCCAAGCCAGAAGTTGGCGGTGACCAAGGTGCCGATTGTGGTGTTCTGAACTGAGGGCCCCATCTCCCCAGCCCTCCCCAGACCCACCGAATCGAAGCCGTACAACCCATTGCCGACCAGTCCGAGATACTTCTCGATCCACAGTTGGTAGAAGCCCTTTTGCTGCCATGTTTCCGAGTTGCTGCTGTTGAACAGGAAGCCGCGGCTGGTTTCACAATCGGAGTCGAAGACGTTGTATGCTGTAATCTCTCCTGTCACCGGGCTCGTGGTGTTGGTGATGCACGCCATGCGATTGATGGCCCATATCTGCTGGCTTGCAGTCGACACAAAGACGCGCACATTCTCCCCTGTTTCGCCCACGCGCAGAGTAAAGGTGTTCCATGAGCCGTCGACTCCTAGCCAGTTCTGGTCCGGCGCAACGGTGACGGGTGCTGGTACCGAAGCGATGCCAGGCAGCAGCTGGAAGTTGGGCGTCTCGGTGATGTTTGTCGGCACATAGTCGGCTGCGGCAAGCAAGGGCAGGAGCAGGGCGGCGGCGAGGAAGGCGCATAGGGCTGTGTGGAAGGCACGATGCCCTCGGAAAGGGACCATGTTCCGTGACTAAGCGGCGCGTGGAAGGAGGCACGACTGGGGCCACTCAACCTCGAAGAGCGCAGCGAGCAGCATCACCGAGTGGCATTGTCTGTCCCCGCCAGCCACGAGAGGGGTGAAGAAAGAGAAGGAGACCTCAGAATGCAGCCAGCATGCAAAAGCACTCTCGTCCAGAGTCGAGCCAGATTGGCGGATCCTGGCATGCCAGCCGAGAGCAAGCCAAGGCATATATTGCACCAAATGCTCTAACGAAGTTGGTCACTTGGCTAACGGGGCGAACTCTCCTTTCGATTGACGTACCCGCCATTTGCTGCGATAGCACTCTTTTTTGCGGGAGCGCCCCGACCGTCACCCTTCTGCGATCCCTCTGCTGTACGCCTTGATTTTGGCGCCTCGATGCTGTGCGGCGGACGTAAGCTTGTACGGCAACTTCGTCAGACGCCTGTAAGACGGCCATCCTGCTCCCGTCGCTTTCAACCGGTATTCTTCCGCAGCAACATAGATGAATGCAGCTGAATGCCGTGAGGCACCCGACCGACCCCTCGTTTCATCCCTACACCGATTGGCACCTGTTCGCGCAATCTGGGGTCGGCCTCTGGACTGCCATGTGCCACTGCAAGGCGCTGGCAAAGCGGCTGGGCTTAGGCCACCACGGCTCCCACTACGAGCGGGCGACGCCCACGCCCGGACTCCACGACAGCCATCCCCGAACGACAAGCTTGAAACAGTAGGTTCTGGAGCAGTTGACCAGCGCATTCGCTTAGATTTGCTCTCTCCAGTCTGGCAGATCGGCGCGCTTGCCAGAAACCTACCAGACCATCGTCATGCTCAACAAGAGGAGATCTTGAGTAATGCGTCGATCATGATGTTGGGATGAATGCTTTTTGTGCATGATGAACGTGGCGCTTCATCTCCGCAAGAGCCGCACGCCGCCTGCGTGGTAGACAATCAACACTCAGCTGAGGAACAGCAAGGGCTGTCTACAATGGCATGGAGGCGTGTCGCACAAATACAAGCAATCGCCTATGCCGAGACAGGCAGGCCGGGATTTTGATGTCTCCGCCCACACCCCAGCCTGCAACATTCTGCAGTAGCGGGGTCTTGTGCTCTCAGGGACCTGCGTGGCAGTCGCACTCAACGTACAGGATGTTGGCCAGATTCATCGTTCTTTTGCGAGGTGGACATACGTTATTGGTGTCCTCGTTCAACTCACGTGCCATCCGCCTCATACCCCTGTCCGGAATAGGAGCCTACGGACTTCGCCCAGAGCCTAGCTACCTTCCGCGCTGATCTTCCGATAAATATGCATGTCCACGCTCGGGACCACGCCAATCGATGCCGTCCATAGGGCAAAACGCGCTGGACCCGCTCATCCAGATTGCCTTTGCTGCACTCTCGTATGCCCACCACTCTCTTGGGACGACTTGAGAGCACGACGTTCGCTATCCGTAGAGTGCTGCTCATACAGGCACTCTACAATCGCCATGTATCTTAATCACTCGTTTCTCACAGTATGCGTTGCTTCATTTGCAGCGGGGGCCGTGTTCCATCGTGGTAAAGCCAAATCCCATTGCGCCTCGCGGCTCTGATCCGCTGCGTGCTAACCAAGCCATCAAGCCCCATATTCCAACGTCACTCTCACAACGAAGTCATCGGTATCTGCTCCGACGCTCGCAGCTGTCCCAGCAACTTCATCGCGTAGCGTTAGCAGCCTCGGTACAGGGATTTCTAGCGAGCATGAAATCCTTCGGCCCACCGATGCGGCCTCGACTGGACCACTGGTTTCTTCTGTGCTACCAAACGCCACGTTCTCAGACAGTCTCAATACGACATCGTCGCAAGGCCAATATCCATCGCTAACGACTTCTGAAATCAACCTATCTACTATCAACGGTACGACAACACAGCAAACCCGCATTTCTAACGCGACATGTACGGTCAACATCCCCAGTGCAAGTGTAGATTACTGGTTTGGCCCAACATACATGCACGTGGCGGGAATTATGACAACGCAGGCATCGAATTTCAGTAACGTGGACTCGTATACCCTTGTTCCTTATACGACAACCTTTGATGCATCCAGTGCATTGGCATCAGATTATGCATGTATCTACAGCGAGTCGTATTATGCCGAATGGGATTTCACAGTTACCATGTGTGAAGAATACACGGCAAGACCTAAAGCAGCTACAACATCTGTCGCCTACCGGTCAGCAGGCTACTCTCCTTTCCCCTCTGGTAACGTCATCCCGACGTCGGACGCCGGATTATACGATTTGTACTACCCAGATACTTTCCCATCTGCCACGGCTACAATCACCCTTGGGCCAAATACTACAATGGTTCAGACTTCTGCGACACCTTTCGTCCATTTCACAGCTTACGAGGTTGAGTCAGGAAACAAAACCGAGACGGTACAGCTTCGTTCCGCACAGGTTTATCCTTACTGGATGAAAGGATTCGACGAGGAGAGTACGGTGACGGGATCACTTCCAGATGGTTTTCTCAACCAGATTCCACAGTCTGCGTGTGATGCTGGACAACTGCAGGCCACCGTCGTGACTGTCCTCATCGTTGTCGACTTATACTATCAAAATTGGCCCGGTATAGGTCCGGCCCTCATCCATGTCGAGTCGTCTGTACTTGGTTTTGACGACGGACCCGTCGTTATAAATGGTTGGGGCGGCAGCACCTCGAAATCTCCCCCTCTCACAGTAGCAGACTGGGATCTCCCAGGTGACAACAGCAAACCAACGGCCACCGTCAAGCCGAACGACCGAATGGACTCAATTTCTACGACCAAGATACGCGGCAGTGAGAATAATAATGCGGTCAATCCTCCCGAATTCACTCGAGTTACCGTTGGTTCTGTGGGCACACGACCCGTCGTAGTTGGTCCTTCTTCAAGAATTGTTGTCGGCTCTCAAACCTTACAAGCTGGGGGAGCCCCCGTCAACGTAGGAGGTGGAACGATGGTTTCTCTTGCGCCATCGGCTACGGCCATCGTTGTGGACGGCAGTACTTCTAGGCTACCGCAAGTTACTCCGTCACGGCCTCCACCAGTGCTGACGATTGGCTCGACGACACTCACACCTAACGCTGCCACCCAATTCTTCGTTGGTCCGGGGCAAACCCTCACTCCTGGAGGCGTCGCTACTGTCGATGGTACCGTCGTCAGTTTGGCACCGTCGGCTTCTTTCGTGGTCATCGGAGGTTCCACCCAAGTTCTACCCGGATCATCACCAGCTCCAAACAGTCCGCCACAACTGGTAGTCGGTGGCTCAACGATCACAGCACAAGCAACCCAAGAAAGTTCCAACAACTTCAACGGCCTAGAGAATCAAAGACCTAACCCAACGTTCGTTATCTCGGGGCAGGCACTCGCTCCGGGTGCTCCTGCCATTACCGTTTCGGGCACCACGCTATCACTAGCACCCTCGGGAAGCGTACTGGTGGTTAATGGAGCGTCCTCGACGATACAGATCCCAGCTACCCCTACTGTAGCGCCACCCACACTTACTATCGGCGATAGCGTGTTCCCTGCTGTTGACAATCCGCGAAACACATTCGTTGTCGCAGGTCAGACACTGGTGCCTGGAGGGTCCGCAATCACTGCATCCGGTACTACGTTTTCGTTGGCACCATCAGCATCCTTCTTTCTGGTCAATGGCGCCCCATCCGTGATAGCGAACCCAGCTGCGCCGACTCTCAATGTTGGTAACAATGTTTTCACACCCATTTCCGCCTCACCTGGAATATCATTCGTTGTTGGAGAGAAACCCCTCGTTCCAGGTGGACCAGCCATAACTTTCTCCGGAACTACAATATCGCTTGCACCTTCTGCTTCATTTGTTGTTGTCAATGGGGTTACTTCATCCCTCGCTATTCCTACTCCACAGGTCGGCAAACCTCCTACGATCACCATCGGCAATGATGTCATCGACGCTCTTCCAGAGCCCTCAGGGCCCACCTTTGTAATAGATGGCCAAACGCTCGTTCCTGGTGGCCCAGATATTACCGTCTCGGGCACTACACTGTCGCTCGCTCAATCGGCATCATTCGTTGTGATCAACGGCGTTACATCTACATTGGCTACTCCAGCCTCTCCACAAATTACAGCGCCTCCTTTGACCATTGGAGATCTGACATTCGGGCCGCTCCCAGGAACTAGCACTGTCTATCTAATCGGGTCGAGACTGCTTACCGTGGGGGGCTCGATCGTTGTCTCGGGTGTCACGATCTCGCTCGCACCCGGAGCTACAGCCTTGGTCGTCAACGGCAAGACCAGCTTCATTTCGCCGCAAGCCCAGCCTGCCATCACCAATCCTCCATTGCTCACTATTGGTTCGCAGACATACACTGCAGAGTCAGGGAGTGGGACGGTCTTCATCATCGAAGGACAGACTTTGACGCCAGGAGGCACAATAACCGTCGATGGCACAACCATCAGTCTTGCGTGGGGGGCGACGGAGTTGGTTTACGGATCTTCGGGACGCACTACAAAAAGCGCGTTGTTTCCCGCTACCACGACCCGCCTTCAAAGCGTAACCACCAATAGTCCAAGCGCAAGGGCCAGTAAGCCCGACGGACAGGCGACAGCGACGAGTACGAAGGAGGGCGCAGCATCCCACTCGGACTACCCGAGCTTAATGTTGCTCGCACTGTTTATCATTTCTTGCTTTGCTTCAGGGTGCGTAGCATGTTGAACGTTTTCTCGACATGGATTCATGGTTTTCTATGGGTATAATGAGCATTATTTGGGCGTCCTCGGGTTATCACCGGTAAGTGATACCACGTGTACAACAAGATCATCATCGGCGTTTAATCCATTCGCGGCGGCACATGCACGATCGCAGCGCAACGACCTCATCATCTAAAAAGCCTGTCAAAGACAAGAGCTGGTAGATGGAAGAGGTACCAGTTAGAGAGTGGCGCATCAGTTAATAATACCCAGGGATTGGGATGGTTGGTAGACAATGAGAACTATTGAGCACGTTTCGAGTGTCGAACAGGTACTTAAAGGTGAAGGGACTCTCAATTGATGTTGGAGAAGGCCACCACCACGGGGCGGTAATGTTACTGCAAGCCACTACGCACATACGCGACAACGTGCATCGGCGCAACGCTCAGCTCCACAAACGACAAAAACAACATACCGCAAGGGCGCGTTTTGCGTTCCTCATCTAAGCGCCTCATTTCCGTTCATTCGTCAAGCGGCGCAGCACTTTACATTATCTCGAAGCACGGGTGCGGCATTTCGACTATCTATGCAGGACGATAGTATAGCCGGTGGTTCTTTCGTGCTGAAGCAAAACGAAGATGGCGTCACGACTCGACTGCGAAAACGGTGTTGTCTAAAGCGATGCCTCGGAAGTGTCGAAACATCACCATTGTCTTGGCAGGTACAGGCGCGCAATTTCCCCCACTGAAGGAATTCGTTTCATGTTGTCTCGCGAACGAATACACCCTTAGCGAAGTTTTCGCCCCACCACCGAGGTTGCTTTCCCGTCGAACTGCAGGATCTAGAATGCCGGATCAACGAAATGAGAGTCATTGTAGACCGGTGGCATAAGGGATGGAGAGTAGGGAGATTGCGTAGTGTGGCGGTGACGATGGGGGCACGCAGCGGTAAGTACCCATCGGTCTCCGACATAACGTTATGGCACAAGCAAACAATCAACTGCGAACATGTGGATGCGAGTAGCATTGACAGCAGAACATGTTGGCGCTTCAGCGCATGACGTTTCGTTAAACGCCTGGGATAGCCAGACTTCAACCGATCAAGCTTTTTCGACATGGTTTCACGTTTCCCATGAGGCTCTCCCGTTATTCGTTGCGCAACGCCTGATACAGGCCACCTCCAGGCACATGCATGGAGGCGACGCCTTCAAATCTCTCCTTGACAATAGCTCATCACATATTATGGGGCGTAGGAACGGAGCAGACCTGGATTCAACGTTCTGCGGCAGCTAACCGAAGCCACGCTTCCGGTTCGGGCGCTAGCGCAGTGCTGGATAGATTGACAGGTGCTTGGCATCAATCCACAGACCCGGGTTTCATGTCGTTGGCGCTGTCAGGATTCTGTCAGTGAGGCACTAATCTTGTCATGGCGCAACTGTGCCGTGTAGGCGGAGGGAGTATAAGAGATACAGAGGCCATCGAGGTTGAAAGGGCATCAAGCTTGACGCTGACACTCACTTTCACACGCTCTTTAGCATTACACTCACTTTCGATCCATTCGTCTATCATTCATTCGTTTCCATTCTATCTTTGAAGATACGCTCAACCTTTTCAAATCCAACCAACCAACCAACCAACACACCAACCGCAAACATGTTCACCAAGACTGCTATCATCCTGGCTGCTGCCAACCTCGCCGCCGCGCACACCACCTTCCAGAGCTTCGTCATTGACGGCAAGGACCAGGGCCAGCACTTCGCTGTCCAGACTCCTTCCAACGGCAACAACCCCATCCTCGATGTCACCTCCACTGCCATGATCTGCAACGGTGGCAAGGCCACCTCCGACCAGGTCGAGGTTGCCGCTGGCTCCAAGCTCGGCATGCAATGGCACCACAACGACCCCGCCTCCGCTGGCGACGGTGACGACCCGATCGCTCCCTCCCACAAGGGACCCGTCATGGTCTACATCGCCAAGGCCGACACCAACGGCGAGGGCGCCGTCTGGACCAAGATCTACGAGGACGGTCTCACCGGCTCCAAGTGGGGTGTTGACAATCTCATCTCCTCCAAGGGACTCTTGGAGATCGACCTCCCCAACCTCGAGGCTGGTGACTACCTCATCCGCCCCGAGATGATTGGTCTCCACGAGGCCAGCGCCGAGGGCAAGGCCCAGTTCTACAACGGCTGCGGTCAAATCAAGGTCACTGGCAGCGGCTCTGCTGCTCTCCCCGCCACGGGTGTCGACATGACCAAGGCTTACAAGGCCACCGACCCCGGTGTCATGTTCAACATCTACGGTGGTGCCACCGACTACACCGTCCCCGGTCCCAAGGTCTGGGACGCCGCCACCGCTGGCAGCGCTCCCTCCACCCCCTCCAAGCCCGTTGAGTCGGCTGCCCCCTCCACCCCCGCCTCCAGCGCTGCTCCTTCCGCCACTCCCTCTCCCGTCGAGTCGGCCAAGCCCGCCGCTCCCTCTGCCACCAAGCCCGCTGCCACCCCCGCTCCTTCCACCGGCAGCGGCTCTGCTCTCCCCGAGACCTTCACCATCGAGCAGTTCATCCAGTGGCTCAAGACCGCCACCGGCACCTCTTCCAAGGCTCGCCGCCACGCCCGCGCTTTCAACTTGTAAGCGCTTTCTCACAAACGGTCGCAAGTCGATCTTTCTTGCATGAACTGGTGTTCATGGTTGGTCCTTTTTTGAGACGTATCTTCTTTGATGGGACGCCCCCATACTCTTTCTTCCCATAGACCGCGAGATCGGCTAGCTCTTCTTTTGATGTAAATATAGCATTCACGACGAATGGAATTCGAAAAGTCTTTGTACAACTGTTGCTTGCTTGATATACGCGCCTTGTGATTGAATGGTATTGTGAAATGTTTGTAATATGGAGGGCGAAATAAAAACGCCTCGGACGCCTACAGGAAACCCACGTTTTCTAGATTAAACTACAATACGGCGATGATGAAAATACATCGTCTTATATACGTTTTGTCACCTAGCGAGCAAGGGCAATGTATACAGTAACTCACACGTACCAGGCGTATCTCGAGTCTGGAAAAGGGTATTGTAACTACCATAGTACACTCAACTGCGTCCATCCGCCTAATCTTTACCTGATGTAGCCTTCTCCATGGCTCGTGCTAAGAAGTCCTTGTCGATATCCTTTATGATATCCAGAGCCTGTTCTACCGTGATCCGCGACCGCAGATAGCAGTCACGACAAGTATTAGAAGCATGATGACTTGAAGCCCAACATCGCGTGATACATACACTGGCGGGTCATGGTCACTTTCACCCAGGCGCTCATACCAGTTGTTACACGGAAAAGGGTTTCTTTGAGCACCTACATTCTTCTGGTCTGTTCGCTACTCTCACTGCGGCTTACCTGGGCGGCCTATGCAACTCCACACTCTTGATCTCCAACGGGCCAATATATCACAGCTGAATCATGAACGCGCATAACAACGCCATCCCAGTTGTCTCTCTGACCACCCACTCACCATCAGCCTCGCCATCCTCATCTTCATCCGCCAATACCTCACCAAACACGTCCCCTCCACAAAAGCGCAAGCGCGATTCTAGCCTACATAACAACAAAGTGGTTTTGCAGCAGAGGCAAGACGCGAAAGCCAAACTAGGCGCTAGTGGTGGTGTACCGACAGGCTGGAAGTGTGGGCATTGCGGTACGGTGCAGGATGCGGGTAGTGCGGAGTGTGCTACGTGGTTTTGGACAGAGGGGGTGTGTGGACATGAGTATTGTGGGAGGGGGGAATGCTGTGGGCTGGTTATCTGATAGCACTTGGAAGGGAAATAAAGATTGGATCGAGTACTAGGGAATGGGACAAGGATGCATGGTATGTAGCTTTTTGACTAGAAGGGCTATCCCAGACATCACGAGCGGAGTGATGGAGGATATACTGCAATCATTCCATAATACTCAAATTATCTTCGCATTCACTGCGGGTACTTCCTATCTTGGAAAGCTCAGTCCACTCGTTTTTTTTTCTTCGCCGGTGGGGTGTTTATCTCGGGATGACTTCTCCTCAAGTGTACCAACAGTGCATCCTCTCTCCCGAACATGCTAGTGCAGCCCGGTTGACCACATCGAATGTGCCTCCTGCTGGGCCAATTTGAACAGGGGCCATGTTTCTCCATGTGACGATTAAAGTTTCTTTGTGCGTATCGGCCAGTGAACTGAGGCTTTTCAACGCAAACAAGACATCTCAAAGTGTCACTCTGGCCATGTGGCTGGCTATGCTCTGGCTGTGGCTTCCTAGCGACTATTTCTCCCTTGTCTAGACCATCAGAGTTCTTACTGCGGTCTGGTCGATCCTCAGGGATGAGCTTATTTTGGGCGGATGTATCCCTGGGTAAGATGGGTAGAGATCTCGGATAGTTCGGCAGACTAGAACGGTGAGGCATCGCAGAATGGGAGGTAGAATTGGGTTTCGATGCGATGTCATCGAGAATGCTGACTGGATATCGGTGTTGTGCTGCTTCATAAATCGAAGGCGGCCACAGGTCATCTGGGACCGGTTCGGTGTCGAAAGATGGGTCAAAACCTTCCTGCATAGCGCCACTTGGTGCGGTCGTATATCCGTGCCCATTGTCACAATGCGTTGCTGGAGCGTGAAGGGACGGCGGTTTCGATCCATCCGCTGGAGGATGCCACGCCGCTTCTGATATGGCTATGCTAATGTCGGTAGCTTGTGAGACCCATAGCATTGAAGCAGTAGCGCCATCAGCAAGGAGTTCCGGCGATGTGTGATCAGGAGATTGAGGCCGACGTTGTTGGTGTTGGTGGATCTCTTGAGTCGGGTTTTGTGTACTTGTGGTGGAATTTCCTTGCATAAAATCGCGCCATGGATTACGCGATTGTCCAATGGGGATGGGAAGTGGAGTCAGGCGGATATAGTTGGAGATTCCCGCTTTTACAAAGTCTTTGCTATCAAGTCCGAGCTCCGGCCGGTCTATGGAGGTATGTCGCGAAAGTCTTGGGCTATCAAGCGATTGTTGTGAGGCAGATGCAATAGACCCTTGGACCGATGGTTCCATCCGCATATCGACACCTGAACCTGATTTGTATGGAAGGACGACTCCATGCCCACCAGTATCGGTCGAAGAGGATGAGTGACACTCAGCAATAAGATCAGAGCCTTTCTCAGCCTACTAAGGTCGGTCAGAGCGCATTCTCTTGCCAAGTGGCTTTAACCTACGTTCTGATTCACGGCACGAAGATTGACAGTACGGTTGCTTGAAGTCGGTGAGATAGGTTGTTCTTGCGCAGTCTGGGCTTGTGAAGCCGCAGGAGATCCCGATGCATCATTTGTCGAAACTTCTATGCGTAGGATTGTTAGTTTGCGCTCATATGTATATTTCATGCGTGTATACATACCGGTCTGGGCTCCTTGAGCAACGATGTAAGCTTCCACTTTCGAGCATAGTATCTCGTATTGCTCTTGCTGTCCAGTGTTTCCCCTACGCTGCGGATGGGGGTTGCGGCATTTGAGGCCATCCTTCCCATGGAGATTCTCAAACTCAGACTCATCCATGATTTCATCATTGCATGTCTGGCAAAGCTTGAGAAAGGGGAGATGCGGTGGCCTTCCTTCTGGTAATTTGCGAATAAGGTGTGTTCGGACGGCAGAAACGGTACCCACAGGAGCCGCTGTACATGTGTATGGCAGTCCAAGCTTTTCCTGAGCCTCCCGAAACGGGCAAGGTAAGCTTCGCTTAGACTTTGGAACCTGTTCAGTCATGGCTGACGTTTTTACAGGGGGGCCTGGTGGCTCAGTCTTTTGCGAAGAAGATGTTGGTAGCTTTTGATCATACACTAATGTCTCATCATCGTTCTTGCGTCCTTGTGGTGCTTCCTGCTCGGCGACAGGGGCCGTCAATTTTCCATAGGCGACTTTCCGACGCTGTAGAAAGGATGTCAGTGACACATCATCCATGATAGCTTGCCTATTTACCTCGTGTAAGACTTCTGTCGATTTAGAAGAGGTGATAGTTCTCTCCGACTCCTCGTTACCTGTGACACAATGTGGGGCCTCAGTAAGACTGGCCGCAAACGTTGCATAACCATAGGTTTGCTCAGATCGCAGGTCAGGATTGCAATCCCAGTACTGGTCAACGCCGGTGTCTAGAGCAGGTTCCAGAAAGTCGGCCCACAGTAAATGATAGTTGTTCGCACCAGGACTTGATGGTAGAAACTCGTCAAGACTACTAGTGATTGCGAGAGGCTCGTCCAGAGGCGGGGTGAGGCTGACGTCTTGGCGTAAAGCTGGAGGGTCTGGCGAGGGGTCTGCTGCCTCCGATAGCTCAATGTGGGAACTGGTGGAAGAAGGAAGCTCCAGACCTGAAGACAGAAGAAGTTTAGGACGCTTGTCGGTCCCGAAAACGTGAGCCGAAGGACCATGAAGGACCCGTTTGGCCATTGTGGTAAATCACCGAGAAGGAGCAGGAGAAGGACACCGAAAAGCTTGAGGATGCGGGCATCAGGTCGATATAACGATCTTTACCAGCCAATCATGGTGCGTGGTGCGCTGGTAAGTGACATGGCTTATACGAATGCGGTCTTACTGATTCGTGCTTTAGAAGACCTGCGGATTTGCAGAGATGCCTGACTGCCTTGCGGGTCACACTCACGGTCCTATGAGAGAAGTCGAATGCGTAGAGGAGGGTGGATCTGGAAGATGATTGGGGTATGCCGATACAGCTACCGTCATGCCCGTTCGTCCACGTAGGGAAGGCTGAAAGCCACATGAGAAAGCGGCCAATGGGAGCCCGGGTCCCATTTGAACGCTATTGAGCTGCGGACTTGCGGGCTTGCGGACTTCCTGATCTACAAGCTGGACCTTATGAATAACTGTGCTACAGTGGTGACGGGCCCAAAGCTGTATGTGTGTGCTTGTTGCAAATGGACACTAGAAGACTGTGTGAACAAGAGGTAGTTTAGGAGTGCGAAAAGTCGAGATAATTTGAGGGGTATCAAAAGAGAATAACATGCTCAATGACAATACGCACGCACTTCATGCCCAAACACCCAGAGTCCAACTGGCTCTCTCTCCGCCTTTGTTGGACAATCCAGGGCCCATGCTCTGCCTCTGCGCGATGACGGAAACTTCTTTCTCCCGTGTAGCACCCTGTAGACCATCTTTGAGATACTTCTCGCGCTCAACTTCCACAATGCCCTTAATGCGTTGCTGTGCTATCAGACTCGCACCTGCCCACGGGCCCAATGTATCCACAACTCTGATCGTGCCGCCAATCAAGCTAGCAGGCGGCGGGCCATGACGTATCGCCATCTGAGCGAACTTGGTGTCTATGGGGTCTTCCGTGGGCGATTGCAGCGCTGCGGGTATAGGGGCAGGCTCCGCATCGGTGTCGAGTGACGAGGGGAATGTATCTTCGCCTTCCTGTCGGCGCGTCTCCACGTCCTCCTTTTGGTTGCGCATCTTCTCTTCACGACGTGCGCTCGCTCTGCCGTAGCTCTTCACCGGGTCCCACCCCTTGAGTTGTACCAGAGCGTCCAGCTCCTTCTGTATGCGCGTCTTGAGGCCAGGTAGGTTTGACACGCCGCCGGTTATTACGATGCGCGACATGCATAGTCGGCGGACGTCTATGGGAAGTTGGACGAGAGCGCGGTATATGAGGTGGTGTAGTGGGAGGTCTTCGTCGTCGAACTCGTGCATGGCCAACTCGGGCGCAAACAGAGCGTTCTCGGTGGGCTTGGCTAGCGACGCGAATGATATCGTGAGTTCGGTAGGTGGTGTATGCTTCGGAAAGGGTATGGTGACGGCAGGCGGCGGTGATTCGATAGCGTCTTCGAACTCCTCCAATACGGGAGCTTCTCGCGCGGGAAAGTATACGGTTCGTCGATTCGATCGGGGGACGGGCTTGCACCATCCGACACGTGTGAGGACTTCCTCTGCTTCTTCGAAAGACACGTCTGCCTTGGTAGCGCTGGGCTCAGCGTCGTCAAGTTCGGCGTTCAGCAGCTTGGCCATCTCCTCGCTCAGCAGCTTGCCTGCCCGAACACTGCGTCTTTCTGAGACCTCGCGGTATTCGCATACCGCAGTCACAAGTGTTTCCGCCCAGCCGATATCCACGACCAGCGCTGAGCGTAGTCCTGCGGCCACTGTCGACAGCACCGGTGTTGACATGAGGGTGATGCTCGGGGCCTGGAAGCTTGTGAACAACACGTCGAGGATAGTCGACATGAGTGCATGCGGCATACGCGGTGGCATTGCAAGTAGCACCCGCCGTGGTTTCGTGTCCAGCAGAAAGTATTTGCCGTATGCTTCCCTCATGGCTCGCTCAAACTTGTCTTCCACGAGGCCCATGTCAACCTTGCTCAGATCCATACGGTAGAGCTCATGTTCTTGACCCCAGTCCTGGTCCCGCTTCCGCTTTCTTCTCTTCTGTGCATATTCGGGGTCCCACTGCCTGTAGTCGCCTACCCTCCGCTGGTCGTCGGGCCCGAACGGGAGGGTGCATCGCGGGGCACTTTCGCCGGGAAAGCCGCCACGTACGAATCGCGAGCCGACTTCTATCACGACGTACTCGTCTTCAGTGCGGAAGGAGCCACCGGGCGAGCCGAAGGTGGACGAGATGGAGCGTAGGAGCGGTGTCCGCGGTGACTCTCCCAGATCGGCGAGGCGTGGAGTCGCGCCCCGGGTGCTGCGGTTGAGGGAGCCCGAGACCTTTCGCTCGCCGCCGGATGACATGGCGGGGATGCTTTGGATGAATTAATAAATCATTATACTGTAAGCTCAATGGCCGCGAGTTGCTTCGCCTGCATGTGCCTGGCGTTCGTCACTAGCTGCCAGAAAGCAAGCTTGTGTGTTCCAGGGTTAGCGCTGGCTGGCTGGCCCGAGCGCAGGAAAAAGTTCTAGCTGGAAAGCGCACTGCTCGAGCTTGCGACAACTCCCATCGCGACTTCCCACACCACGTCCAAATTCACCACGGAGGGTAGCTGCGTTTCGCGATCGCCATTGGACCTACCCCACGACCGAAATCAGCAAAATGGGCCTTTTTATCCTCTCGGAGACTTCGGCGGGTTACGTCCTGTTGAAGTCCAAGGACAAGAAGCTTCTCAGCGGAGAGAACAAGAACTCCTCTAGCATTGTCGAGGAGCTCAAGCTCAAGAAGTTCGCCAAGTTCGGCAGCGCAGTAGACGCTCTCGAGCAGGCCGCCGCGCTCCACGATGGAAAAGTCACGCCCATGCTGTCGTCGCTTTTGGAGGATCTGAAGGACGAGACCAAGGCTACCTGTACGAATATCCTAAGATTGCGCAGTGAACATGGCAGCTAACACCTTCAAGTGGCCGTCGCCGACCCCAAGCTCTCCAACTCGATTGCGCAACTCCCAGGTCTCTCCCTCAAGACCGTATCAGACTCTTCTACCCAAGATGTATTCCGTGCCATCCGCGAAAACCTGACATCGCTCCTTCCCGATCTTCTGCCCTCTGAGGAAGCCGCGACCAGACTCGGTCTTGCCCACTCCCTGTCGCGACACAAGTTGCGCTTCTCGCCCGACAAGGTCGATACCATGATTATCCAGTCTATCGCATCGCTCGATGTGCTCGACAAGCAGCTCAACACCTACGCCATGCGTGTCAAGGAATGGTACGGCTGGCACTTCCCCGAGCTCGCTAAGAGTAAGTTCCAGCCTTTTAGACGCCTGTTCCCCTGGACCTGTCATTGACTTTAGCCACAGTTCTCAACGACAACCTCGCCTACTCTCGTGTGGTCCTTAAGATGGGCTTCCGAACCAAGGCGCGTGAGAGCGACCTCTCCGAGATCCTGCCCGAGGAAATCGAGGCGGCTGTCAAGGCGGCTGCAGAAATCTCCATGGGTACCGAGATCACAGAGGAGGATCTGGAGGCGACCTCAGCTCTTGCCGAGCAGGTCGTTGACCTCACCGAGCACCGTCAAAGCCTCGGCGCCTACCTCTCCAACCGTATGCAAGCTCTCGCTCCTAACCTTACTGCTCTCGTTGGAGAGCTTGTTGGAGCGCGCCTCATCGCCCACGCTGGATCCCTCATGAACCTCGCCAAGTCGCCTGGTTCCACCATCCAGATTCTCGGTGCCGAGAAGGCTCTTTTCCGCGCTCTCAAGACCAAGCACGACACACCCAAGTACGGTGTATGTATTTTCTCCCCTCTACGTGGATCGTCGTACTAACTCTCCCAGCTCATCTACCACGCATCCCTTATCGGTCAGGCGACCGGAAAGAACAAGGGCAAGATCGCTCGTATGCTCGCCGCCAAGTCCGCCTTGGGTCTCCGTGTCGACGCCCTGAGCACCTGGGGTGTATCGTCCGAGGACACCTCCAAGGAGCCCACCGAAGAGGAGAAGTCGCAGCTCGGTCGCGACGCACGCCTCACCATCGAGAGGAGACTACGCGCCCTCGAGGGCAAGCCGCTCAAGAGCATTCCTTCCGGCAACGCCAACGCGACAACACTTGGACAGAAGAAGTGGGAAGTCAAGGAGGCACGGAAGTACAACCCAGACGCCGATGGTCTTACTGGTGACGAGCCAGCCGCCGATGCGCCTGCACCCAAGAAGTCGAAGTCGGACAAGACCAACGGTACACCCAAGAAGCTGGTACAGGAAGTCGACAGCGACGAGGAGATGGCCGATGCCAAGGACTCATCAGACTCCGAGTCGGAAGACAAGCCTGCCGCCAAGGGCGACAAAGCCGCAAAGAAGGCAGAGAAGGAAGCCAAAAAGGCACGAAAGGCAGAGCGCGCCGCAAAGCGCGAAGCCAAGGAAGCAAAGAAGGCCGCCAAGGAGGCAAAGAAGTCCAGCAAGGACAGCAGCAAGAAGCGGAAAGCCGATGACGGCGACGAGAAGGTAGAGAAGAAGAAAAAGAAGAAGAGCAAGGACTAGATGCTGTCGCCTGTATCTGTAGCCATGTTCTTACAAAAGAGGGTACGGCGTTGTTATGGGTTTGAGCTTGCTTTGTTCAGGCGAGTGGCGTACGAGGGTTCGGCATCTTGTAGTTCTATGTTTTCAAAGTCCCTTTTACGCTTGCATGATGGGGATGCGGTGGATGGATACCCGCCAGTTGGTAGCATACAATCACATGTTCATAAATCTTCAATCGTGTTGTCTTGTAATGCTGATGTGTCCTGACTGGTGTGCTTATATAAACCCCGTGCTGTTGACGTTCCCAGCGCACTCGGTGCAGTGACAATATCTTCATCGTGCTATCATGAACCTCACCTCATTCTCCCCTCGTGGCTACATCTTCTCATCGTCCATCAGGCTCAAACCTTCCGCTTAACCTTCCTCCTCTTCTTATTAGCACCGAGCAGCTTATTCGCAATCTTCGGCATCTCCACATCCTCCACGCCCTCCGGAATCATTCCCTCTTCCTCATCAAACACCTGCTGAATAATAGCTAAGATATCATGCAATTCATCCTCCGTGAACCGTGTACCCGCCTGCGCATGTGTTAGCCATCTACACAAAAGACAGTCAATTCATCAACAGGCCATAAAGTGAGGATACATACCTCCTCAACAATCAACTCCAACGTAACCTGCGTCGTCGGTCTCAAATTATACAACTGCAGATACTCCGCCTTGTTCAACCGGTACTTCGGCGCCAGGGCACGGAATAAACTATGAGGACCGCGGTAGAGCGTTCGGGGTCGCGACGGGTGCGCGTCGGCTAGGGAGGAGGTTGTGTATTCTGCGGTTTGGAGGTAGGCGAGGCCCTGGGGGGTGGGGGGTTAGTGTGGTGTCTTGGCTGGATGGGTGGATGGATGGATGGATGGTATGGAATAGCGTACATCTCTTAATATATGCGTCAACCCAGATGGCTTCTTCCTTTTCCTCCCCGTCTCATCAGCGCCGGTGTACTCTGCGTCTTCTTGGCGGAGGTGCAGCAGGACTTCGTGGTTGGAGAGGAGCGCGGATTGGGGGGTTTTGATCTGAGTATCTTGTTAGCAAATGGACGCAGGATGGCGCTACAGAGGGTTCTTGGTAGTTTTAAATGTGTCGGGTAAAAGGGAAAGGATGAGATGAGGATGCGGATGCGGAATGGACGTCATGTGATTGGAATAGTGATCTTGGGAGATGGGACTTGAGTCTTGGATGGTGTTACTTACATGCATCCTGAAAATCTCGTGGCTCTCCCACAAACTTCCTTGTTAGATGTTGGAGTTGAAGTCGTCCGATGGCCACGAGCCTGCGCTGGGTAGCAGGTTCTAGACTTGTCGCGATGTGCTTTCCCAGTACACTGTACTCAAATTAGTCTTGCGAAGACATATAAACGCGTCGTCGTCGTCGTCGCAAGACTGTTTGAAGATGAAAGGCAAATCCAAGCAGACTGTGCAAAAGACCACGGTAAAGTCACTCCTGCTGTTCTTGTACCCTCATCTTGATTATGGATGACAAAAGTGGCTAGCGCCATCGCAACACGTGAAGGGACCTCGAGAGCGCGTACCTGTAATGAGCGACCGTAATCTGCGAGCTCGCTTCTGAGAATGAAAAAGCGCGTCTAGTGTTCGAAGCGGTGTGCACAATCCAGGTGCTTGAAGTTCCGTCTACATGATGCGTGAGCCAGAGCGACACCCGCAAGGTGAGCAAAGGGCAGTTTTTCGCGCTAGCGTCTTGGCAACGCGAGGGTAAACTTGCCAGAATAGAAGCAACATGAAGAATCACGCTGTACAAAACTTGGAAACACGGATTTGGAAGTCGTTACTGGGTATTATTACTATAATCACTCGCTATCTTTTATACTGTTCCAGACAGGGCTCGCTCGTTCCATGCCGCTAACGCCGCGCAATGCTATGCGAAAATCTAAGATCATCGCAACTGGAGATCATGATCGTCGTTCACGCGTAACTTCGTTGCCTTCGCGCTCAATACTCAGTGCCGTCATCTAAAAGCGTAATTCTTCATCATGGTTCCCTCTGGGCTTTCGCCACCGCCTTCGTCTTCTTCACGATAAAGACACCGACTTCCACACCCTTCGTGGGCTCACCGTTATGGTAGTCCCGTTCCGATACGCCCTCGAGAACGGCCTGGATCAGTGTTGCAGCGCTCATCTCGGAGCTTGGGAGCTTCTTCGACTTGCTGAAGTACTTGGTGATTATCTCCCGTATACGGGGTTTCTCTTGCTTGATCCACCAATCGTCCGCCCAAGCTGACCGTTGCATTAGAATCTCCTCTTTTGCGGCGTGGATGACTTCATAATGTGCTCTTCTCTCATTGTTGTGTCGTTCACCCATTGCTCCACAGAACTTCCGGACTTGCGCTTCCAAGTGGTTGTACTCGTCCAGGTAATTGACTGAACTCATTTGACCTAGGTTCCTTCCTAGCTCTGAGTGGAGATCGTGGACTACCGTTACGGTACGTAAGAGTGGGTCGAGAATTGGTCCGAGGTACTGCTGCGTAAAGGTCCTCGCACCTGTCCTGGTCGGATAGATGAATAGAAGGACGCCGTCATCGCTAGAAAGCTCGATTAGGCGATCGTACAGCAGAGATCTACCCCGGAACGTGAACATCTCAGCAAACTCATTAGTGTTAGTAGGCGGAATGTATCGCTCTACAATCGAAACATTGATGCTCCCCGGTGGCACGACGGGTCGAGGCGATGGGGGCAGGAGTTTCGAATCGAGTTGATAGTCTGGAATAGCGACCGCGCTGTCAAAGACTTTGCTGGTAAAGTACGAATCTCCTCCGACAGCAGGACCAGGAGTGGATGGAGGTGACTTTGGCAGATCCATGAGCGTGTAACGACCAGGAAGGGCGTGGAATACATTGATCCACGAGGTTTGCGTTGACGATCTGTCATGGATAGAAGCGATGACTTGGCCGAAGATGTGGCCTGATGTTGACGGACAAGGCAAGGCGTGAGACAGAATCTTGACTGAATCCAACTCCAGACATCCAGATTCGTTGACTAAGCTAATTAGTACACGGGACTATGCGTCACTGGGGTGCGGAAGTACTCACTGATAGTGCTTTTTGCCTCTTCTATCCACGCTGCCATCCTCAGCGCGTCGCTGAACTCGTCGTTGAACTCTTCGTGGGTCGGTACGATTATGGGCGCTTGACTGGGAGCTGTGGCGCTGGCAGTGATGTTCAGATTTGGTGACACCCCTGGCTCAGAATTTGGAGGCGAACCCAGCCCAACCGTGCGTGGGTTCACAAAGGATCCCCAACTGATCGTCCCCGGCTCCGTATCCGAGGGAGGCGTGTGAGTGGACACAAGATGTCCGACGCGGGCTCTAGCTTCCTTGGGACTGGTAACGGGGGTATGACTGGCCCCGTTGGCGTGGCTGAAGAAGTCGAGTGGTGGGCTGAGCGCATGGAGAGGGTCTTCTGGCTTCGACAGAGGTCCAGCGCCTAGTGGAGAGAAGGAGTGGTGTGCTTGCTGTGGGATACGGTCAGGGTGGGGCGCAGCAATGCCTAGTACATCAAACGAGGGTAGACGCAGGTTGTGCGTACTCCTAAGGACCGTGGACGTGGGAAGCGAGAAGTTGCTTTGAGGAAGGTTGAGGGTCAGATCAAGCTGCGGCCGGTCCTCGATGGTGGGAGTCCTAAGAGGCTGGGGTAAGGCGGAAGCCAGCGGGAAAGGCTGCGGCAGAGAAGCGTCGAGAAACGAAGAGATATCGTTGGGAACCGCTATGTCGGGGCAGGGACCCGCATCTATGCCTTCATCCGGAGTGGGTGGGATGGAGTTGGGCTGGAGCGCTTGGTGGGAGTCTTGGTGAAAGCGAGGAGGGGCATTATCAGCGTCAGATGGCTGTAGAAGATGTGACGAGGACTGGAAGCCCGTCATCATGACCAACGGGGTCTGAGATGTTTGCCGGTAACGCGCACAATCACGCTATGCTGGGTAAGTGGGATGAACAGACGCACGGAGACGTGGCTGAAAGATCTGGCGTCCAGGTACAAACGCGGTAGCGCCGCGGCGGCAGTAACGGCCGCGTGGGAAGTATTGACAGGTGGAAGGGGCTGGCGGTAAACGAGTGGATGGTCGCCTGGGGAAGACGGTCGCTGCGTCCAAGACATGAATGTAACAGCAGAGCGACCAGGCCAACGCAGTGCGAGGGCCAGGTGGGCTAGGTTGGGTTTGCGGAGTGAATACCCGATGTTCGCTGCGGTTGATGCTAGCGTGTTTTGGAGGCCCAGGGTCTCAGCAGCTGAAATCTAGACCTCGCGGCCACAGCAATTCACACCAGCGAAATGGCCTGACCGCACCCGCTGCTCCCTGCACACATGGCAGCCTAGCTCCATCACCAGCATGCCCATCCATCGCTCCTCACGCTGCCGTTGTTTGGTTGTTTGCAGCGCCGACTGTTCGGTGGGTCGATTCCCTGCTGCACGACAAGCCGGGCTAGTCCTGAAGCTGTTTGATACGAATTGAACGCACACCCATAGGGCTCCCGTGGGGAGCCAGCGTACACGAGTACGGCGCCGCACCCTGCCAATCGCCTCGTAGAACGCAGCCAGTCTCTGCACAGCTCATGGCCAAAACGCACAAGTTTTCCATTCGCTCCACAGTCACCAACCCTCACCAACGTTTTGGTGCGAGCTTACAGCGCGTCTTTGGCATGGGTCTGACAAGCCTCCAAGCTATCTACCCGCAGTCACACAGTGCAGCCACACTCAGCTGCCGCGACACGCTTTGCCCTACAAGGCGAAGGGCCATGCGAGTCTAGGCTTCCCATCGAGATGTCTCTTTTGGCCAGCGGATTCTTGATTGTCAGCAATGGAAAACCGTGAAAACTTCTTTTTAGCTGGATGCAGCCTAAGTTAATGATCAGCGCCATGCTGCTTGTCACGGGACTTGCCGTTGCGCGCATTTTCATCTCGCCACTACCGAGCTCAGGGTTTATTCCATAGTTTACAAACGTAAAACTTCGCTATCAATTCTGCGACCGATCCACCCGTGCATTGACTGTCAGATGTCAGGCTTTGCTTACAAAGTCCATTCGACGATACGCCTTGCTCATTGTCTGCGACCAAGAACCAGCCGCAGAAACGTCAATACCATAGCAAGCTCTTGTGCCTGCGAACTACGACGGCCTGCCTTGAGCTCTGGGGTCTTGTTGCTTTGGCTTGTTTCCAAGTACCTTGACCTTAGCTCCACGCTCGTCTAGCTTTGTTCCATCGAGACACTTCCTCGGTCAACCGCCGCGCCACCATCGCCTTTACGTACACTCAAGTATCAAACTATCGACATTAGCACCAACTTAACATTAGAGTGAGACATAGACAACATACCTGCCACTTCTGCAGTCCCTTGTCCCTTGCTCCTGGCGCACTTGAACTCGATTTTGATGCCATCTTCGGCTCATGCAGTTTCACGTACTCCTGCGCAAGCATAGGACATGCTTTCTTGTGCGCCTTGTAGTGCGCCTTCTGGCAGTCTTTGTTGCAGTACGTTACACTGTGGCACTTGATGCACTGCTTGAGCGTGTCTGGAGACTTTCCGCATTGCGCGCACGCCTGAGGCGGTGCGGACGATGATGAGGATGCAGACTCTGGCTGTGCGTTGGGTGTTTGTGACGATGAGGTGGACGACTCTGCCTGTGTGGTAGATGCAACGTTCGAGTTGTTTGCCGAGTCGGTCATCTTTGGAATCAAAATAGTGAGGACTTAGAAGTTATTGTCAGGTACTATTCGCGGTTTCAATGTCGACGCGTTTCGCTGGGAATCACATAGACAGATGCCAAAAGTTGAACGTGATCGACATTTTGCCTACAGGGATGCAGGTGCACTTGAAGCGACTGCGCTAACCCAGTTCTGTGATAGCTTGAAAGGCTAGCAGGTGTTCCGAGGTCAGTCGCGAGCGCCATCAACACTGCCATAACATATCCGCCGTGCAAGGAAATTCCTGATCAGGTCGCCATCAACCGCAACGATTCATCGCTCCGCTTTTTCGACGTGGCAGATGCTTTTACTTGCGATAACGAGATCATTGCGAAGCTACGCGACTCTATCGAGCCACTAACCATCAGCTCGCCATGATCCACTCATTGTTGTTGAGTGCCAACTCTCAAGAACTTTCGATGCAATGCAACAAGAACTTTTGTGAGTCATGTAATGGAGAGAGCCGTTTCTTTCCTCGTTCATGGCCGCCTTCGTGAATAGATGCCCACGTCTCGTCGCTCCTGCCGTCTCAACATTGTCAACACCAGCTGGACGAGAGAAGAGAAGCCCAATAGGCTTTCACTCCTGAGTCGGTAGGCTCACAATGGGTTTGAGTTCTGGACAGTGTTGTCGAACTCGAGCCTGTGGGTGCTTAATTCGCGGTGAAGTATTATAAGAGTTGTACCAAGCACTGCAGTACCTCTTCTCCATACCAACACACCTCGACAACAACCTTCAGACAACTATTCATAACTCGCACAGAACCTATCAGCGTTATCCAGATGTCCCACCAGCAGAACGACGATCATACATCTCAGCCGTCCCACGATGGCTCACAGAGTTGCGAGATGTGGATGTTCCAACACATAGTTGATGCCATGACACAGTTAAGATCGATATGGACTGAGATCAACGCGCCTCCCCCGGCTACGATCGAGCGATACATAGTGTTATCCGCCTCCGAAACACTTCACGATTCAGAATGCCCTATCTGCCAGGGGGACTATGACGAGGATCAGCATGTAGCTATCAAGCTTCTAGGGACACATTGCAGTCACGTTTTCGGCCGAGACTGCTTACAATGTTGGGTCAATAGCGGTATGCATAAGGCCCATTACTGTCCTATTTGTCGACAATGCATACGTGGCGCGCTTGGTGGACTACCCCCATCGCAGCCAGGCGCCGAAGACGAAGAAGAACATGAAGATGAAGATGAAGAAGAAGAGGAAGAAGAAGAAGAAGAAGAAGAAGAAGACGAAGAGGAAGAGGAAGAGGAAGAGGAAGAGGAAGAAGCTGAACAAGTCCTCAGTCCGCAACAGCGTGAACAGCGCGATAGGCACTGGGCCAACTTAACCGAAGTCAGCAATATTTTGCAAAACATCGAAACAATCGCCATTCCTCCACTTGAGGGTGGGGGCCACTTAAGCCTGGCTCTTCAAGTCGTACGCCCAGATCCTACTATCCAGGATGAAGACCGCGCCCTCAGGGGAACACTGACTCGTCTCCGGAATCAAAGCCATTATCTCAATGAGCTTCTGTGTATCATTTTCGAGCGCAAGCAGGAGGAGAGGCAAAGGGAAATACTGCGCGCTGAGAGGCAGAGGAATATACTGCACGCTGAGATGATGCAATTTACCGCTAATTTCCGGAGGATGTAGAAGGGCAGAAGTTCATGCAGGAATTGATGAAATCGTGAGCTAATCGCGATCATAAAGTCTGTCTTCTCCCAGTATACGGGGTCGACATTGCACATCTTGCGAATGGAGAAATTCATGGACTAAGGTTAAGATTTGCTATCTTCCCATATTATCAAGGTGTGAGCATCTGTTTGTCAATCGATTCCATTGTGAAAGCGCTTCTTGCTGTACTTTTTAGCAAATGCCAGTGGTCTAAAGTAGTGAATCCATTGTAATTACAACTGTGGTTACCGATGAATATCCGCATCATGTTCCCATCCAGCCAATCTCTAGAATTCCCATGACACCAGACGACCTTTTTCGTCGTCTGAGCTTCTTGGACAGTGACATCCCGCATTATTAACAAACCCCAATCGCACCACCGCTTCATGGAGCAAGCACATCTAACCTCACAAGCGTATAAACACAACCTGTACAACTTCGCCCTCTCCCATCCGTCAGCACCCCTCACTCTCAAACACCCCCATCCCGACCACGAAACAGCTCTCTACCTCTTTCACAAAAAGCACTAAAATCCCGCTCCCGCCGCTCCAACGCTTGACGCATCCTCCTCAACTCCCCTTCATGTTCCCTCAGACGCGCTTCGCGAGCATCCAGATTGGCTGAACGCCGTTGGAACTCGAGCGACTGGAAAGCATGTGGTGGCGCTGCTCTGTTCTGTTTGCCTTGGCGTGTGGAGTTTGTGGAGTTTGAATCGTCTGGGGGATAGTTGAATTGTGCTCTCTGTGGGGGCGCTGGGAATGGGGTGCGTTGCTGGCCGAATTGGAAGGGTTGGGGTGTTGGATGGGTGGGATGAGAGGTTGCAGGTGTGTGAGGCCCTGAGGATGTAGGTGGTGGCTCTGTTCGTCCGGCTGTTGCTTGTCCTGCGGCGAGTGCGGCGTGGAACTCACGATGTGTGAAGACGGGCTCAGTGCGCCAGTTTCCGCTGTAGCGAGTATCTCCGGATGCAGCAGATGACTGAGTCGCACGCGGACGGGGCTGGCTAGTTCGTGCGTAAGGCCGGGGTATACGTGCAGGCTGTAGTATTGGATCCGTATCTCTCATAGTAGAGTCCTCCATGGTTTCGCCCGCAGGGCCTTCGGGCACGCCCGCGAAGAGGGAAGGTGCGGATGCGAAGTTGCTCGCTCTAAGAACCTCTGTAGCCTCTTCTGTCAAACGCCGACTGCGCGCCGAAAGGCTTTCATATTCGGCTTTGAACCATACGGCGCGACATAGCGGACAGAGGTTGGTGTTGTCTTGGGTCTTGCGCCGGGCGAAGATCTTCTCGAGGCAGGCGTGACAGAATTCGTGGTTGCACTGGGCGGGCGGCTGGACAACGACGCGGATTGCTTTGTGGCTACTGCGATCGTATTCCTCTGTACATATCGGACAGTGGGCTTCTTGGGGTGGGTTGCGCTCACTACACGGCTTCAAGCAACGGCGTTTGAATTGGGCACAGGCCAATGGTGCCGTTTCCATGTTGATTGATCCTGGGGGAGTTGGTCGCGTACTTCTAAGCGTTGGAGTGTAGAACCGACACCTCGGTAGTGTGAGAAGTTGTAGTCAGCCTTGAAAAGAATGAGAGGGTATAGAAGTGGATCCGACGCAAGCTTGCGCAAGTCGGAGTGAAGGGCGTGGAATCCCCACGGACCAGTAGAGACGTGTGGAGAAGGGTAATGACGTAGCTTGTGTTTGTTTGATCAGACCCAAGAAGATTGCAGAAAACATAAATGACATTGAGCTATTGAGTTCGCTGATTACGAAGGAAAGACTGCAGTTCCTAGTGCGCCTTGCAACGAAAACATAGAGATAACCATGTAGCGCTGTCAGCCCAGCTGACTTCCATTCAGACATGCGTACAAGACGGCAATTCCTCCACCTTTGACTATTGTTTCGAAATCATCAACAACTGAAACATGGAGAACCTGTGCGGCAGTCAGTTCACGTTACCTACGTCTTTCGCAAAATACTTACAAGATACCAGCGAGGAAGAGATACACTTTTCCCGCGTCCGCAAAGTAGACCATACAGCCCGATAACAGAAGGTTTGTCGACGCCATGACCACAATTTGGGACATATCTCTTTCCTGCTGAGAGATGTATGCAACAGCGACAGGCACTAGACTCGCAAGCACTGCCGTGAAGACATGGGTGCACTCTCTGAGAGTGCTGTCGTAAATTACTGGACTGCCACCGAACTTAGACTTTTCCAAGAATCTCCCAAAAATTCTGATTATGGTAAGTGACCGCTCGCAGACCCACAAAGTAAAGTAGTCGCTGAATTCGCGGGACTTGAGTGAGATCAGGTCCGTAGCTACATGTCCATGGAACCGATCATATTTGACACAGTCTTCAGGAAGGCCATAAAGAGGTTTGTGGTGAAAAATCCAGTTATCGCGTGTAGCGCGAGACACGTTGTAGGATTTAATCTGGTCGAGATCAAAATGATCGGGCGCTGCGATCTTGGCGAGCATATGTTGCCGCAGAAGTGCTTCTTCTATACGTGGGTTAGCGCCATAGTCACACAGATTGAATGATAAGTTTACCGTATTTCTCAAGCTTCTCACGAATCTGCATGATGAAATGGTACTGCTTGGGCTGTGGTTTGGCGGAATCCTCCATTGTATTCCAAGCCCAATCTGTGGCATATTCTTTGGTGATGCCGCCTTTTCCCTCTCTGAAATTGGTCATCACATTATGAAGCTTCCACTCCAGATAGTCGATCTCTGCTTGCATGAAGAGGAGATTCTGCACGCCGAGCGTTCGGAAGGTACGGAAAATAGCCCGCTCAGGCACGCGAGCCATGTATTCAGCCAGCCGTGGGATGCCAGCTGGGAATTTCTTATCCCAATCGGCGCTTTCATCCGAGTCATCCGAGTTGTCGGGTTCCAGGGCTTTCTCGACGTTTTCGGCTTCCTTAGGGGGATTCAATTTGATTATCTTGTAGTCAGCCGTCTGCGGTGCAGTGTCGCCATGTAGCTGACCAGCAGGCACCGTGTCAGCCGGATGCCCTTTCCGAACCACAGATTCATCTGCGTCTGCACTTGCGAGGCTCACATGAGGCTGTGGAGAATAATCCGGGGTGTGATGAAGCGGAGGGTAATCCGGGTGTGAGGGGTCCATGACCGGGATCGCGTTCACAGAACGTTCTGAATCAGGTCCATCGGACTTAGCTGGTCGGACAGGTCCATGTGTGGTGTTATCGACATGGTCGAGATCTGGGTTCGAAGATGTAGACATGGTAACTATTTGTTCGTAACGGATATAGTTGATGATTCTCTTGTAAATAGTGGAAATTATGCTGGAAAGAAAAATAGCCTACCGGAGCTGCTCTTATATGAACTAAGTACGTCGCAAACGCACCAATATGACAATACCATTGAAGCAGATGAGCATGCAGATGACCGCAGCTAACAAGAGTGATGATATCGGCGTACATTCTATGGTACCCGCGAGAGCCTCGTGAATGTACGCCCTACAGGTGTACCCGGCTTTTGTCACAGGTAGGGCTCTGACAAACCGATATCAAGCATGTGTGAAGATACCTTGCTTCACGAAATCTCGTGCCGTCGAACGTTCCTGTCTCGCAGCGCGTACGTGCGCCGTTCGGTCCGTCCTGTGGGAAAATCCGGCTTCACTGATTACGATTGCGTCGCCATTGGTCGTAGCCTTCTGACTCCGAACTAAGACATCTCGAGGCTAGGGAATACTTCACGGTATATGTAAACAGGCACATGTTGCAAACTCAGATGTTGCTGGTGAAGTATGCAGCTTCCGCGTTGGCTACTTCCATCAGGCTCCGCTATCACGATTTTCTTGAGGCCGCTTCCGTAAGTCTTCAAGTGCTGATGTTTCTGCATGGTCAATTCGCATTTGCAGTTGCACATGGAAAAACGCGGTAGAAGGCAGGTGAAGCTCGATGGAAGATGAGGAAGGATGCGGCATCTAACCGCTGGTGTAGAAGTGGCAACGTAGTTCTGTTGCTGGATCGTATGAGCAAGGGCAGTCAAACCAGTCCTGTGCAGTTTTGCGGCGATTGAAAGGTGGAAGAAGAGTCAGATGTGAGAAAGTGCGGATAGAAGAAATTGATGACATCATGCGCAGAGTGGGGAAGAGCTGCCCGGGCTCAGGCACGTGCCAGCTCTCACCTTGCCCTAAACATCGACAGCTTGTCGCATATCACAACGAAGCACACTACCATTGTTTCAGCATGGGAACTCTACTGCGATGGTAGCTGAAAGTGAATCCTGACTTGACTTGCGAACTTGACTATCAGCTAGATCGCACCGTGGCATCACCTCCGTGTCTACTTGGGTAATGTGTTTGTCATATTCCCATCGACAATACATCGAAGCTGTTCAACACCTGAAGAGACACCAGTTTAATGTTGTAGAAGCCACTTCCAGGCCACATGCACCTGCGTCAAAGTCCACTACGCTAGCAACAGTCTACCTGTCGTCTCGCCCCCACGTCAGCGCTCTCCACAACACCGAACGCTCAAAACTGCCGAGTACGGACTTCGCGACAAGTCCGCCGTAAGACGAATGATATGCGCAATTACAGGGTACAAGTCTGTCCCGATAGGTGTCAGCTTATGCGAAGTCCGACGCCCGTTCAGCGTACACAGCCTTGGCGACTACGTTGGTTCGAGCTGACTTGAGGAGACACCCTGATCACAAATGATACTAGGAGTTTAACGAGAGGCTTCATTCTGACGTTTTGGCGTGTGAATACACGTGTCGTTACAGACATATAACGGGTTGTATTGGATACGCGTACAGCGACCTGCGTGAAGCAGCGGAAGGCGTCTGAGAGGCGCATACTCAGTGTACTCCGTGGCTTGGTTCCTTCAGGAGAAACCTGTGGGTTTACGCGTCGTAATCCTGCCCTCTGTGCATCCAGCTTCAAGTTGACGTACTCCAACAAGGCCAGAAGGACTATATATCCCATCCTCCCCATGTTACCCATCATCTCATCAACCACCACCTTCCGCTTTCACTCCAAATCCTCTCTTCCTCTACCACCATCATGAAATCCCTCTTCCTGCTCCCCCTCCTCCCCACCTCCCTCGCCCTCGTAGTGCCCCTCAAACGCCTAACACCCGACATCCACCCCCGCAACGCACACTGGGTAAGTCATGAGTGTACGAAGTGCATGTGAGATAAATACTGACTTCGCACCTCTACCTCTGCAGGGAACAAAGTCCTGGTCCGGTGCTCATACCATAACCGTAACAACAACCCTAACCGTCACCGTCACCGCCTTCCCCTCCGCCTTTTCCTCCGCCAACCAAACCTTCCCCAACATCACCACCACGGACGTGAGCGCACCAGCGACGACCAGCGATGATTTTGCGCCGATCACATTGATCACGCTGCCTACCGAGGCGGCTGCGACTACGGGGTCGAGCGATGGTCTGGCGCCCATTACGTTGATCACGCTTCCTACGACTACGGATGGTGGAGTGGGAGATGCGGCGCCGACGCCGAATGATCTTGAGCCGATTACTTTGATTGATATTAGTGCTGTTACGCCTATCTAGATGGGCGAATGATGAAGTGGTAGGGGCGAGCGAGGTAGCGGTTGGGCTTAGTCGTCGGGTGGCATGGTCGCAGAGATTGTAGTCGAAATACTACTGAGTTTGTCTCGAGGAGGGGTCCGTTTTGGTGTATATATTGTTTTGCTATTGGTCTTGCAACTCCACACTCTTTTGATGTATCGATTCAGTCGCTCGTTTGGAAGTCTCGTTCAAGTGCATGGTTTGTGTTAGTTGGGTTCGTGGGTTAGAGTCACGTCTGGGGTGTTTAAGCATGAAGTATCAATGGAACTGTGGCTGGAGTGAGGGGCATAAACCAACTTTCTGCTTTCTCATACCGCATCAAGTATCCGCCTGGAGCGTACCCAGAAGTACACTGAGACCAAGAGGTCATGCCGTCACCGATCCACAACACACGTTCGGGAGGTCGTCAAAGACAGCTCTCAAAAAGTTCCGTGGCACTCAACCGCATACTGCTACTAACCTTACTTCCTCTCCTTACATGCTTCGACGCAAACGCCCTATCACTAGTTAGCACTACCTCCAAGTACACATCAACACTCGATCACTTACACATCCCCAACAATCTTCCTCAAAACCAGACTATCCACCCACTCGCCCTTGATCTGAGTCTTCTCCTTCGTCAGGCTATGTCTCTCAAACCCCAGCCTCTCCGCCAACTTCCAACTTCCCTCATTCCTAGGATCGCACTCAATCTCCATCTCCAACTTCCCTTGGTTCTGAAGTCTTTCTTTCAGAGCATCGATGAAAGCAGTCATGGCCTCTGTCGCGTATCCCTGTCCTTGCATTGACGGCAAGAAGGAGAACCAGAGTTTGGCGTGGGTGACGGGTTTGATAGTCGATTCTCCTGGAAGGGAGTCGGAGTTGGCTTGAGATGTTTTGGCGCCGACGCGGCCGATGAATTGTTCGTCGAGCGTCTCGACGGCGAGTTCGTACTTCGTTCGCGGCACGTCGTTGTGGTTGCGGATATTCTCCAAGACGAGCTCACGAGCTTGTTGGCGTGTTCGTAGGGGCCACTCCTGGTAACGTGCGTTTTGCTCGTTTCCTTCGAGAAGAAAGTAGCCTTCCTCGTCCTTCATCACGAACTCGCGGAGGAGCAGACGGGGTGTTTTGATAGCACCAAAACGCTCGCCCTTCACGTTTGCGCGGGCGATGGCTGCGAGTTCTTCTTTTGTGAAGGCACCTGAGGCTTTGAGAATCTTCTGAATGACGTTTCCCTTGGCGACCATATAGTCGACGATGTTGTTGGCTTTTGCCGCGAGTTCAAGCTTCACTCGCGCGTACTCATCCCTCAACTCGCTGTCAGAGCGTAGCGTATCTCGCAAGCTGAGGTGGTTGCGCGTTTGTGCAACACCGTCAACACACAGGTAAACGTTGTGGCGATTGGATTGGTTAGGGTCTTTAAAGGCATGACGGTCGACAATCCCCAGCTCTCCCAGGTAATCGAATTTCCCTTTCTCGATGAGAGCGTCGATAGCAGGCTGAACATTTTCGCGAGTGACTATGATGTCAACATCGATGATAGGTTTGGCGACAAGTCCCGGCACTGATGTACTACCCACGTGCTCGATCGAGAGGTAGTCGATGTCCTGTAGGTGATGTTTCAACTCCGACTTGATAGTTTCGAATTGCTGCGGCCATTCCTTGTTGTATTGCTCGATGATGACGGACATTCTTAACGATAGAAGAGAGGCGTATAGTAGAGCACTAGTCAAGTCGGCGGCGCCTGGTCGAGGTTGAACAGGTGAATGTGTCGGCTAAACCTACCAAGCTTGTGCAACGCTCTCGCTTCTCACCCGGGCGCGCCCGAGGGGTGCAGGAGCAAGAATGTCGGTGTAACAAAAAGCATGAAAAGAGCGCAGAGACAAGCAAGATAGCGGAAACCCGAGATTGAGGTGGTACATAGAGCCAAGATGCCGCTTGCGCACAAAGGGCGAATGCAACGCGGAGATACGGGCAAGACTCCGACCCGCTTGATTTGATTGCGCTCCAGCCTCCAGACTTGTTGAACTAATCATACTCTTCAATCTTGATCACAGGTATGTCTGCGTATGGCGGAGGCGCATCTCGGCCCAACAGAGCAGTCTCGGCCTCAGAGTCTGTGCCAGGCTTTTCCTGCTGTCTCTGCAGAAACAGGCGACGTGCCATGACGAGGCTAGCCGCAAGCAGTGCAAAGAGCGGGAGAAGTAGGGCATCCTTTCCAACCTGTATTCTGCCAACAAAAGCGTTCCAGGCCCTCGACAACGTGCCAAATTTACCGTACTCGTCCCATTCACGTGGGTCAAAAGTTGTTCGCATCATGGCCAGTTTGCCGCACTTCATCCTAGGCGGCTGCGACTTGTCCTTCACGGAGACGACCTGTACGTCTTCGATGGAGAGTATGTATTCGCCGATCAAGTTCTCATCGTACTCCTTGCGCATCAAGACCTGCACAATCTTCTGGCCCAATTTGATTGGCTCAGCGTTCTCTCCCCAGGGCAAGCCCGTCACATTGAACTGAAGCCACCAAAGTTCAGGCTCCTCAGCGCGAAAGATGGTATGCTCGTATTGTAGGGGGAACAGTATCCTCCGGTGTCTGTTCGGATTTGAGGCGTCTTCGGAATCCGCAGCCGTCTCTTCCTGCTCCACCTCGGTGGTGACCTGCTTCGCGTTTATGTTGAGAGTCATAGGATCGAGAGGGAATATGCGCTCATCGTTGAGAAGTAACGCATCGTTGAACTCAGTCAGGACAAACTTGAGCAACTGATCGTGGTCAGTCGTATTCATTCTCAGGGCTGCAGAGTGCACTCACTAGAGAGTTCTTTGGTGCCGGATGCAGCCATTCGGCCTCATGAGGACTCGTCCAGGCACGCAACGGGCATCCTACGCATTCCAACTTCGCGGTGTATTCTCGGCCAGCCTCCACTTCAATGACTTGATCAAGATCCGATGTTGTCGGAGGAGTGGTGGCTGCTGCAGCCAGCGCCGAGAGACCGAGAAGAGCAAAAGGACGCATGGTGACGTTGACCGAAGACAAAAAGGAAGAGAAGTCACGACACAGCTCAAAGAGGTGATGTTCGCACAAGGAGGCGGGAGATGGCCGACGATGCCGGGCGACGCGTACAAGCCTCGGGCTACGGCAACGCTAGCGCAGGGATCATCAGCGTGGGTAATGCGCATTCTAGAAGCCTGAAGCTTGTCTCCTCCTATACTCCTCTTTGCTTACAGCCCGCGCATGCCGTACTTCTTGGTTCGCGCGACGGTGCTGTTCATGTTCACAAACATGGCGGCTCGACATCCAGTCGTATGGTCGTCGACTCATCTCTTACACATGCACTCCGCCTGAAGATCAATATTCTGGGGGCGCAATGTAGAGAAAGGTGGGTCCGGCTGTCTTCACTTCACATCAAGGCATGGCAAGGTTGGGAAGTTGTAGTCAGAATGGTCATGAAGCAAGGTTCGCATTGAAGGACTGGGCGCCAATTAAGTACAACCCGATCGCCAGCACAGGGCTTTCCCCCATACATAGTATGGATATCTTTCCCTCATAAGCGCGTAGCATTGATCATATCCCTCAACACATCCCCTTCCAGACATAGCATGGTTGTATCTTTGAGTCGTTGTCAAATGGTCTCATATTTCCTTTTCCTTTTTACTCCTACGCCGCCGGCACATGCCAGGTTGTCAAAGACAGGGTATGTAAGAGAAGCATCGACGAAACGGGTCAAGACATCTACCACTGGGTAGTGGTAGCGGGGGCAGCGGTCTCGGCACCCCAGCCCTCGTTGCCAGTCTGAGCATCGCCAGACGCAGCCCAGTCGGCAGTGTCAGCGTCCCAGCTGGTGCCAGGGGCAGCGGCAGCCTGGGCAGTGAAAGCACCGGCAGATGCGCCGGAGACCTCCCACTCGCTGGTGAAGCCGTCAGCGACGGGGCCAGCACCGACCTCATCGGCACCGGGGACCTTGGCCTCCTCGACACCAGCGCTGTCCTTGTTCTCCTCAGCCTCGGGGTCGCGGTAGAAGTACAAGTCAGTCATGACGTCCCACTCAGTCTCGCGGTTGGCGAGGGTACCGCGGAGGCGGAGGACCTCACGGGCAAGCATCCACCAGATGAGACCGATGGCGTGGCGTCCCTTGTTGTTGGTGGGGATAGCGACATCGACGTACTCGGTGGGTGAGTCTCCGTCACAGAGGGCCTGTTCTATGTTAGTCCCCTGACCCTTCCCCATATTCGAAACTGAATGCTTACAATGACGGGGATGTTGACGTAGGAAGCCTCCTTGATGGCCTGCGCGTCGGTGCGGGGGTCGGTGACGATGACCAGGCGGGGCTCACGGAACGAACGGGTGATGTAGTTGGTGAAGTTACCGGGGGTGAAGCGACCGGCGATGGCAGTGGCACCAGTGTGGGAAGCGAACTTCAGGACGGCACGCTGTCCGTAGGGACGAGCAGAGATGACACAGACTATTCATTCAGTGTCAGCCAAAGTCTGCGTGTGCCAATAATCGCATCCTTCAAGATTATACATCTCGAATTGCGCGAGCGAACGTACTGTCGGCCGGGTTGTCAATGGCGACAATGATGCGCGCAGCCAGGACAATCTTCTCCCAGGTCTTGCCAATGTTCAAGACGTTGACACCGTCGGGCCTGGTCTTCCACAGGTAAGGCTCCATGTGCACCTGGAGGTTCTTGGAACCGAGGTGGCACTGAGCAGCGAGGAGCATCTCAATGTCCTGCTGGGTGGGGTTGAAGATGGCGGGGAGGTTGGAAGGAGCCATTTTGACGGTTTGGCGCTGTACGAGCTGGTCGGTATACAGGAGTTGTCGGGTTGCGTGCGAGAGACTGAGTCGACGAACTTTCGTGTTCGCGATATTCGCATCGTGGTGGGAGGTGCTAGCCGTAAGCGGACTAGCGCAATGACGCGCCGGCATCGGCAAAACCAGTCGCCGGCCATGGATCCGCAAAAGATTCGAGGGTGGTGGCAGCGAGAGTGCAGCCAGCAATGCCGCCGCGAATACCAGCCCTGTCGTGCCTGCGGGCGCCGACGTGTATGTACAGGTTGTTATCGATCATCCGCTTGTACTGACCTCTCTCCAGCTTTCTCAGCCACCAATCAACTCACCCTCCCCATCCGAACTTTCGCCTCCACATCGCACCTATACGCCGAGTCAGCCGAGCGACAGAAGAAGCGCCTCGCGAATGATCCCTATATTGTCGCTCAGCGGAATAGGAAGAAGGCTGCCAACCTCACGCGCCGCGCTGAGCTCGAACAAGGCCGTGTAGCGAGCCTCGGAGACCCAGTCCGCGGTGTTGCAACGCCATTCGTAGAGTCGTTCGACACTGGAAAGCCAATTACATATGAAGAGGGCAAAAAGATACCCAAAGACCGGAAACACCTCAACTATGCCTTCGAGCCAAAGACTGTTAGGCGACAACTGGACAGGAGCAAGGACTTGGCTGTTCCGCTGGGTATAATCCCAGAGGAGACCACGGCCCCCACAACTAAATGGTCCAACTCCATATTCGGCAAGACGCAGGCAATCCAATTGTCGGCCGAAGAGATCGAGGAGCAAAGCAAGAAGGACCATGCTCGAGCCGCTGAGGCCATCGCCCGCATCACCGCTCTCGAAAACGGATCGAGCAAAGACCGCATGCGCGTGAACATCACACGCTGTGTAGAGACATTCGGGCGCCACAACACCGATAAGATATTCCCACCCAAGGCGCCATCATTGAGCCGGTCAGGTGCCGAAGAAGTCCGTGCCGTGCGCCCAGAAACAAACGTTGCAGCGACTGCAAAGCGCGTCGGGCCTGATACTGGGTCGTCCGAAGTCCAGATCGCCATCTTGACAGCAAAAATCAAGACCCTGGCCGACTTCTTACAAGCCCGAGGAAAGGGCGACAAGCACAACAAGCGGAACCTGCAATTGCTGGTGCACAGGAGGCAGAAGTTGCTACAGTACCTGAGACGGAAAGAGAGGGGTGGCCCCAGGTGGCAGCATTGTATCGAGACTCTTGGGCTGACCGAAGGTACCTGGAGAGGGGAAATTTCGTTGTGAGAGCAAATAAATAGTCTTTTCATCGCTCTTCCATCTGACATTCTTCACGTTTGCATCGACGGATTGTAGAAAACTATCTGCTTATTATGAGTAATCACGCACATGTATATCATAAGTTGTCATAGCACCCTTGTAAGTGTAGTGCTAAACGAGGTGGATCAATCCATGTCTTCCGTATCGCCTTCCCACCTTCCCATCTCAGCAAAGTCTAATCTCGCATTGCTCCACCCAGCTCTTGCGACTATGAAGGGCGCAATCACGTGAAGGGCGTAGATTCAGGCGTCCGCCAACTCTATACAATAGTCCTATCGTGAGGCAGCAACATTACCGAGTGATACATCTCCACACGCACCTCACTCTCGAGAAATCACATCCTCCCCTGTGATCCCAAGAATCTTGCAACGCCCCAAATAACTACAACAATGTCATTCCCACCACCAAACCCTCCACCCCAACCAAACCCCTGGTCCAGCCAACGCCTCCACTACCGCGCGATCCGCGCCTGCGACATTGATGTCTTCCACGCCTTCAGCGCCGACCACACCGGCTACGCAAACAGCAACTTCGACAACATCAAACTGCCGGGCCCTGCCGACTCCGAGAAATTCATGAAAGGCGTCCAAAACGACTGCCTTTTGGCTGCCATTATCTGGCTGCCTCACCCGCCAGAAACGCTCTCTATGAGATACGTGGATCGCGAAGGAATGTTCGCAACAAGGCGAAAGAACGGGGAGGTAGTGGATGAGGAGTACGGCACAGCCGTCGGCGAGATCCATTTAGATATGTTGCCGCCCCATAAACAACATCACCGCAATACGGAGATTGGGCTTGATATCCTGCCAATGTACCAAGGGAGGGGGTATGGGACTGAGGCTATTAGGTGGGCGCTTGATTATGCGTTTAGGCGGGCGGGGTTGCATAGGGTTAAGGTTAGGGGGTTTAGCTGGAATGAGGGTGCGCTGAGGTTGTATGAGAGGTTGGGATTTGTGGTTGAGGGGAGGGAGAGGGAGAGTGTGTGGTTTGAGGGGGGGTGGTGGGATGTTGTTACGTTGGGGATGCTGGAGGGGGAGTGGCGGAAACTGCAGAAGTGAGGTGGAAGAGAACCAAGATGTGGCTTTGCTACAATAATAGGAATGTTGCGTAGATAGTGATGACTGAATGTAATATTCGAAGTCTGCCTCTCTCACGCATCCGTCTCGCGAATCAAGGCATACCGTACTGTAAGCCCCCACCTCCCACATCTCTAATAACCATCGTCGCATTATTCGCTCGTTTCTCCGCCGCATCATAAAGCGCCTGAATATCCTCCTTCCACATAGTCTCGTTCATCCTTGTGACCTTCCTATCATAAGTCATCATCCCATTAACCTCCCCCTCCACATCCGTAGTCTGCGTCCAGACCCCACCCGAGCAAGCAAAAAGATCAATCTGCTCGCGCAATTGGTTGAGCAAATCGTGGCAGCGATAGTTCCACCAGTTAGTTCCGTTGGTAAGTTCGTATGCAGTCTGCTTCTCCAGGTCCTTGAACCAGGCGTGCGCGTAGTTGTCTTCGGGAAGCTGGGTGCCGATGCCGCCGAATTCGCCTTGCAGACCGATGCGCGAACTGTCGTAGGCGGAGTCGTAGTTGTTGCCTTGGCGGGACCAGAATGGCGTGCCGCATTGGGGGGTGGAGTAGTGGTGGTTGTCGTCGAAGTCACCGGCTGTGTGGTCCGTCCAGCCACTGACTGCATTGACAAGGCGAGTGGGATCGATCTTTCTTACCATTTCTGTCAATGGGAACTCGGGCCATGGAGGCGAGGTATCCTGGCCCCATTCCTCGTTGTAGATTGTCCAAGCAAAGATACTGGGGTATGACTTGAGCTGCTCTACCATCAAAGCCAGCTGACGATCAAACTCATCTTGCGCATCTTGGCCTGCTAATCGCTTACTACCACAGCCGTCCGGCAGATCTGGTCGTAGAGAAGGCATGTCTTGAATGACCAACATCCCCATCTCGTCGCAAGCTCTGTAGAACAAGGCTGGTTCCACTTTGATGTGCTTGCGTACCATGTTGTAGCCAACATTCTTCAGCACCTTGAGATCGTACACCATGGCCTCGACGCTTGGAGGTGTGTAGATTCCGTCTGGCCAGTATCCTTGATCGAGAGTACCAAAGGGGAAAACAAACTTTCCGTTCAGGAGTGGGCGCTGTATGCCGTTGATGGTACCGCGGGAGACAGTTCTGAATCCGGTGTAGCTTTGGATGGTGTCGCTAGCCATTTTGATGGTAATATTGTATAGGGTGGGACTGTCGGGAGTCCACAGCTCTGGTGATGGGACGTTAAAGGTAAATGCGGATCCGCTAGTACCTTTGGCTGTTGCCTTGGCATCGTTTGAGCCCAGTTCATGAACTGTGATCTCATATGGGATATTTGTCAGGTTGGTGCTGCTGTGAACGGTCACGGTAACTTCGATATGTCAGCAATGACCACCTTCGAGCACGGTCCATATTTACCAGTCCCATCCATATCCGCTGTTAGGTCCAGTTTCGAGACATGCTCTTTCGGTGTTGACTCAAGCCACACGGTCTGCCAGATACCACTGCATGGTGTGTACCAGATCATCCCCTCTCGGTTCAACGTTTGCTTCCCAATCGGTATTTGGACCATATCCACATCCGTCGGATCGAAGGTGTAGACCAGCCTGTGATAACCTTAGCTTTGTCACCAATCCTCGGTTTACGATACTCACAGTTCATTCGTCCCATTTGCGCTCAGGTACTGAGTTACGTCTACACTAAACTCAAAGTATCCACCTCTGTGGAAGCCGGCATTCTTGCCATTCACGAAGATGGTGGCCTCGTAGTCAACAGCGCCAAAGTTCAAGATGACGTTGTTGCCGCTAGGCCATGATGACGGTACTGCGAATGATGTCTGGTACCAACTCCACATGCGACCCTTTCCTGTCACACCTAGGCTGCATCAGTAACCTTTCTAGTCGGAAGTCTGGATTGACTTACCCGAGAGAGCACTCTCAAGGCAGAAGGGAACTAGGACCGGGTTTTCCAGTGTTTGTCCGAAAGGTGGTGATGCGTCCGAACCATTCGTAGTATTCCTGTATCCCCAGACACCATTGAGATTCTTCCAGTCTGTTCGCTGGAGGCGTGGTCGTGGATACTCTGGCCAAGGATTGGTCCCCACTGTGTCTGTCCATTCCGTCTTGAGTGGAGTATATCCAACCTTGTAGTCTGTCCGATTGCTTTGACGCGGATGGATTGTATTGAAAGTGGCAGCAACAGCTGACCACGTCAACAACCCTGTAACAAGCCCAAAGCTGAGCTGCATGATGAAGTTATCGGTTGGCAGGTGCGCATCCAAGATGCGGTAAGGAACCGTTGAGATGCGGAGGACAACGGCGGCTTTTAAGCCTTGGGTGGGTTCATGACAACATGGTTCAATGGTACCTGTGACGGCTTTGCAGCTGCATATTGGTATTCTTAGTTCTGGGAATAGCGGCGGGATGATCCTGGTGGCTGCACACCGTCGACGATCATGCTACTACTGAGGTAGCTCGGCGCATGTTTGGACAGGCCAGTGTAGTCGCGTGGCCGGGCCGGCTGATCTGATGCATGGCGTTCAGTATGCGTTTGCAGAGCATTCGGTTACTGCATAAGCCTGGCGCCTTGGAATTGACGAGGCTGACGGTGGAAGTCGGAGAGGTGGTTGTACGTCAACGCCGTGGATGCATGCCTGACGCTTACCTACCTGCAGAGTGTCAGATGCATTGACGTAGTAGAACGAGTCTGATCAGCTGCGATCAGCGTCTTGGCTACAGGGCCGGTTGATTCCCCGCACCATACGGATCAAATGGGGCCGGATTCTGAGTTCGGACCAGCGAACAATGACCCGAAGGTGGCATGTAGACATTGCAGACAACAACACGTTACGAGATTTGACGGCAAGAACGTTGGGATGAATCTTGGGGCAGTTAAGAAGAGACACCGTCGATAATAGACCTGCGCAATGGACATGAAGTTGTTGGCGATAGTCTGACAGAGTCGTGCAGATGTAGGATGCGGGGATACCCCGCCTCAGCAAATGCGGTTGATGAGATAAGCGTCAAGTTGCGACGATCTCGTATGCGGCTCAGAGATACACTCAGGAACCAAAAGTCTGCAGATGTTCGTTGTAAGGTATTAGGTATATTCGTGCTACGTTGTAGGAAACTTGCACAGTACACTCGCTGAGCTGTCAGGATCGTACAGGACACGCCTATGTCTGCGTAGGTGTGGGGCACTTCACATGTGCTGTTGCTCACCACATGCCTGTAACATCGGCATTCTCTAGCCGTATGCATGCCCGCCATTCGCATGATAGCAGCGCTCAGGTCGTTCACCACCTTCCTATTTCTCTTGCGATGTCACCCCGTGCCGTAAGGCTGGTACCGCCACGTGCCACCCAAGACTGCACTGCATACAACCCCGCAATCTATAGCAACCTCGCGGATGTCTGAGTATGCTCAGATGATGAAGATGCGAGAAGAGGTTGAACGCGATGCCTGCTCGAGTCTAACATTATGGGTCTCGATCCTGCAGAATCTCATGGCATCAGCATGAACGGCTTGCTCCACGACTTCCCCTTCGTGGCTGATGACGTCGGTCTCGAAGGGCTTGAAGAGCTTGGGAACATTGGCGACATTGGGGACCGTGGTGATGTTGGTGAAGTGGGAGAGCCTGGTGGTATTGGGGCTTCCCTCGGTGATTCATATGCTCTGCCAATTTGGGCTTGTGTGGCTATGGGTTCTAGCGTTTTTATTGAAGCGCTATCATCTTCTTCGATACCGAACAATGTCGTCCGATCGGAATATGAGTTCAGTATTGAGCTTACACGCGTCGTGCTCGAGCGTATGGTATCCGCGTCAGAGGTACTCGAACTCGTTGAAGTCATTGTCGACATTGTCATTAGTGATGCCCTATCCGAGCCGGAATACGACGATGCCGCTACTCCAATATCATGTTTGTGAGCGCCGCAATGGATGTCGGGTATGGAGGTGTTTTCAAAGAGAATGTCAAAGATCTTGTCGCGAACATCACGCGCCGCAGGGCGAAGCATAGGTGCTTTGCTCAACATACTTCGGATGACCTGTAATATGGGAGGGATCGCCCGGAACGCGTCGTCGTCATGCTCAAATGAAGCCTTTTCGAGTGTATTCATCCAAGTCTCTACCTTGTCGAGGTTGACATGATACGATGAATCCGTTCGAGAGTTCTTGCCGCCAGTATTGGTCCTTTGTTTCGACGTGCGGTGCTTTACGAAGTCGTGAGGCTTCTTCTTCAGCATGAACGTGATGATCTCCAGGAAAACACAACCAAGCGAGAACACATCCGCCTTCTCAGTCTCGTGTACTCGCGATCGTTTCTTCGGTGTAGGCTTCGCCTTCGACTTCTTGAATCCAAAGTTGAAACCGGAGAAGTCCGTTGTGGGTGCTTTGGTGAGCTTCTGCCGTTGTGAGTTATTACTGCCGGATGATCCAGACGAGCTCTTGCTAATCATCGAAGCATGTCGACCGTTTGGGATAGTGGGTGAAGGCGCAGGGTCATTGGGGTCGAAAGGTCCTGTGCTGATGTGTGTCTCTGGCGCACTGTATACGTAGGCGTCCATTGCATCGGGTTTCTTGTCTTTTTGAAACGTCTCAAGGCTACCGATGTCGCTAAATGCTATCGCATTCTGCTCGTCAATGAGGATGTTTGACGGTCGAATGGCGGAGTGGCAGAATCCATTCTGATGCAGCGTTGCAATGGCGTCTGCCAGACAGTGCAGCCAATTAAGTACCAGCCATCTCCGGTCAGGCTTCAACAGCTTCTGGTACTGAGTCGGGTTGCGGTGGTCGATGAAAGTACGAAGAGTATGCTGCCCTACAAAGTTGGTGACGATGTAACCAACACCTTTGGAGGTATACGAGGCCCAGATCGGCGCAAGATGCTCATGCTCGACCATCCTTGCGCTTTCTACATCCATCTTGAAGTCCTCTTCGAACGCATCCGGTGTTTCTGGGTCGCCGAGCGGAAATCGCCTGCGGACGTAAATATCCCTTGGCTTCTTCGGTAGGTGCATACGTTGCCAAGCCTGTAAGCTCACTGCCACTGGAAGAGACATTACGTTCTCGACTGGAATTTCCTCGTTGGGCGCATAATCGATGTGTATGCCTTCTCGGAGTTCTCTCAGCAGGAATGTGAATTGTGTGTGGTAGAAGCGAGCATCGGCGTGGTTATCGCGGCGATTGGAAAGTGAAAGCTGCTCGATGTCGTCCATTTCCAGAGGTAAATCATCGTCGTCCCACGATCTGTCAACGACAGCGAAGATCCTATCCGCTTCACCAATCTCGACCAATATCAGAAAAAGTCGTCTTGCTTTCTCCAGAATCCATTCGATGTAGGTGTCGTCGCTCAGATCGCCGAAGCCGACAGGTTGTGTGAGACGTTCTCTCTCTTTCGGTTGTAGCCTTGAAGTGACGAAGTCATGGTTGACCTTTTCGTTGATTCGCTCCTCGGTCCACCATATTTGCTGGAGAGCGTGCTGCGGGGTGACGAGGCTGTGCCCAGCGTATCCATAGATCAGGGCGTTCAAGGCGACCGTTTGGTCGTTGACGACGTTTGTCAATGTCCTCGCACTCATTGTGCCGAGTGATGGGTTGTGGTGGAGCTCTTATGTCTGCGAGCCCCGCGTGTTAGTACAAGACACGAGTCGTGCGCCGAGTGGTGAGCTGGTGATCATCTCCAGGAAGAAGAAAATCGGATGACGGAGAGAGTGGCTGTCAGGCTTCAGTAAGTATGGAGTAAGACAATGCTGTTGTCAGGCGTCAGCGGGGCCAGAAACATCGGCTGTTGATTGTGGTACACAATTTGATCCGCCTCTCGGAACGCCTCTGGTTGTGGCAAGCGGCATGGCGACGAATACATGGCGTCGGGTCGCCGCTTAGAGGCCAATCACCAGAAGAAGGGCAATAGAAGGCGCATGCTTGAGCGTCGTTGGCATAGGGCGAGGTAGGGCCTTTTGCCTGGAAAGGTCTGCGTGGCCCCGAAAGCGGCCGCCATGTGCAACGTGACCAGGGTGTTTCCAGGCGGAGGGTTGATAAGACATGGTGCAGCAAGCGAATTACAGACGCAGGGAGACGGATGCTAAACTAGCATACCAATAAGTTTTGCGGAGGGCCGTTCCTGGAGCGGGGCGCATCGCGTTTAGCAGTGGGCGGTGGCAGCTATTGTGCACGCCAACCCTCCCCAAGGGCGGCTAAAGGTGTGAATGCAGTCTGTCCCCAGGCTCTAGTTTTCCGTCTAGCTTGGTGTTGCCTCTTGAGTCGTATCTCGCGATGTTTCTGGTCATTTCGCGAGATCGAAGATTGGGCAGGCTCCCCTTGGAGGCTGTCGCAATCACAGGAAAGCTGCTGGTGCTGACAGCGGCGGATCAGCACCTAGATGCGGCTCAATTTTGCATCACCCGATGCTCATGG